ATTTATTAACAGTTTCTTTGCGGGACAGTACAATTTGATATTTTTATATATAGAGCCTATAGAATGTTATTGGTGATGGTACACCTTCCATACCCAATTTATTTATTTAAGTTACAAGAGAACCTAGCAAACCATCGAGGCGCTTCTGAAACGGAAACCGATTGATTCGAACACAAAATGAACGTGTTTTTTTATGTTCAATTTTTTATGTTAGAATTTTCACAGTGTCTTAATATGGGCATAATAGGCACTAAATAAGGTAGCAGCAAATATCATACAGACAATAGATATTAATAAAAACTCGGAAAAATTCTAACGTGCAATAGAACGGTAATAAAACGAAAGAGACCTTTTTTTTTTTTCTGTTTTTCGTTATTCACGTTTGCTTCAGACGGCTGGCTTCCCAGTTCTAAACGAAATGTATCTGTTCCCGGACCCGGGTCTAGACCACAACGTGTTCCTAAGTTTAGCAGTGAAATACATTACGCATTACGTTGCCGTAGGGACAGGAGAAGACAACTGAGGGTAACACTACTACGGTCATTGCTTGAATTACCATTACTTCTAAAGTGTTCTCCAGTTTTTTTATGTTCTTGTCTTTTTTCTCATAGAAACTCACAATATATCTTTTATTTACTTCACATAATATTATTCAACATTTCGTTCTGCTGCATATTAATAGTCAAAGGTAACAATCAGTGCTATCTGTATAATACTGCGTAACTCCAGTTCACGTTCTTCGATTTTTCCTTACCCTCTCCATGGCCCTTCTTAGTACCGGCATGACATGGCAGTCTATGACAAGACCACGTCATGACGCCTTCCATCATCAGGGTAAAGGTGATGACGAAAATGATTGATATTAGAGCAGGATTCATTCCACTGGCAGTCTCACTGCATTATTACTTTCGCAGTTTTAGAAGCAGCCGGGTGTCTGTCTATACGCTCTTCTCTAATCTCTACCTCCTGGCTGATCCGCGCATTATTGGCTGGCACTGGTGTCACTCGTCTGGCTCAAGTCAGAGACGCCCCCACGATTAAACCCTCATCAGGGCTGGCCCGGCAAACTATTCAGATCTTCCGTCTTTTCAGCATCGAACGTTCTGGTGTCTTAACTCTCGAAACCAGGAGCGAATGAGCCGCGACGTCAAAGTAAGTTATGAGAAGAGGTATATCCAGCTTCACTCATTGTCTCGTTTTTCGTCTCAAAGCACCCTAACGATGAGAATACTGAACCGCACCAGACCCTGACGCATTTGTTTGGGCCAGGTTGAGCGCGCTTTCTATATTCTTACCGCGCTTGGGTCTCGTGTGAAAACAAGGAGGAGGTTGATTTCTGGGGGCGCTACCGCGATAAAGAGGAGAAGGAAGAGTTTAAAATGAGTTTTATCCTCAGACTTTTCACACTTCCGTTGTGTGACATAGCGACTGCTGTCAGGCCAGTCAGGCACTGTGCTGCCTATTGCCATCCTGGTCACTGCTTCAGCTGAATTCTTCTTGTCCGTTGTAAGCTTGCCGTTTACCCAGTTTGTCCCCAAATCATCCCTTTGCCTCTCTACTTAAGCAGACAGCAACGCAGTAGGGTTGGATGATGGTCTGCGTCTTCGGGTACAGAAGACCCAAACTACGCTCGGACGACAGAGACGATACTACGACGGTACCACACGAGATAATAGCTGCGGAATATGACCTCGCGCACGTCCTCAAAATGGGCTGTGAAGCAGGCGTCGCTTGCAAATAAGGGAAGGAGCCTTTGTTACTACGGGTAATGTGGTGGGATAGCTCGGTCAGCAACCTTTAAAGGAAGACGGGCAGAAAGAAAAACGAGGCGGCTGGAAGAGCATACGAAATGCAAAATGGGATTTGGAAAAGGGAAATAAGACAAACGGAGATGCTTAGGGGGTGCGGGCAGCGTGCTGCTGATGTCGGGGAAGTTGGAACAGGCCAACATAGAGTTGATGCTACGGTGTGTTTTGTACAGGTTTGGAAGCGCCGCCCTACCGTTGATCATAGTCCACCGCAACTGTCGCTGTAATGCGATATTAATTTGGCTCTTCTTTCTTTCGCAGGGTAGGGAACTAAGCTAAAGCTAAGCAAGGGCAGACGATGAGCACCACACCCTGATTGCTTTAGCTCGTCGTAAGAGATGGGCATGTGCGCAGGAGAGAATTGGCAAAAGTTCAGGTGGAAGAAAACCATGTCAAAAACGAAAAGGACAAGATGGTACGGAAATAGCGTTATAGTCTAATAGAGGTCAGCGCTAGCTCGGGAGAGAGTGCTTGGATTCGCTCGACAGGGATAAAAAGGAAAACACAGTGATATTATGATCATGCTATCTCGCTTTCTTCCCCCCTGTGTTGCAAATGTAATTAGTTTGATCGCTCTCCACAAACCCAACACCTGTCGACATAACTATGATACCCCATTCACGGCCACGATACGATGACCTCGAGCGATAGAGGTGTCCAAACCCCGCTCTCTAATGTAAAAAATTCCATTAGTTCCACTTAGAAAGCATACATTTATTTACTTAAAAATGTATTAGTACTATGAATTATTTAGAGTGCTCGAGTTGATGGCGGCATCTGCATTTGTGCTTCGGGTCTAAGCTGTCTATCAGGCCACTAATTTTTCATCTCCACATGTTTTCCAGAAATGTTCAAAAAATCAGTTGTTGTTTACTATAAGTCATGAAAGAACTTAGAAATGCTGCAACCTTACAGTATAATGCAAAGTATTTGATGTGTTTCGCTATTTTGTTTAAATTAAAGAACCCTGTAGACGTCTCCTGGTTAAAATAAGATTATTCGGTATAGGAACTGGTTGCATTAACAAAGTATGAACACAGGCGTAAAAAACGGCGAAAAAACCCTAACCATTTAGCGGTATTCGTTTTCTTATGTAATATATCAAAATTATTAAATAGCAACAGGAATTGCTGCTCAACCCGGCAGAACCACAACAAGCTAATTCTGTATGATAAGAAATCTTTCGCACGTGGCAAATTTTCATTCACCATTACAGGCCACAGCAAGTTTACTCTCTTGCGCCCCTTAAGAAAATAGCCCTAAGGTACACCTTCACGCGTACAATATATGCTACTTATACAAACATCTACGTGGACAATTATTTAGAGAACGGCTTTACTGGTCTGTATTGCAGGTGACTTTCTCGCTAACCCGATGGCTGGGCGTAGGCAGTCGGGCCATCCTCCCGAATCCCAGGAGCGCGCGGCCTGCTGTGAATGATGCTCGAACGTTTTTCGCTTACTTCTTCCCTGTTGCTTTTATGCTCTTTCACAGTCAGAAAGACTCTAGCCGTCAACGCCGCCGCGTATTGTTCCGAACCGGGCTCAACCAGTTCGCGCTCGAAGCTAGGCCAGCCGCTTCACCGGTATTTTGGCCTCATCTTCATAGCCTTCAAACCTTTGCCTGCGTACGCTGAGATCTTCGCTCGGGACTCAGATCGTCATCCCAGTTTCTCCTTATAATGGCAGCGCCCCGGGGAAATCATCGTCTTTAAAACTTGAGAGAAACCTACATCCACTATGACGTCGGCTCGTCGTTGCAATTTGATCACTGTTACACTACCCCGCTGTTGTACGTCCCCTCATGGCGGCATGCGGCACACGCTAACATTTGTACAAAGGCTTGACAACCGTGGGTTGTCGTGAAAGCTTTTATTCTCTGAACGTCTTCTACCTTCTTCCGTTTCCAGATTTTCACCCTAACTGTGCCCACCCGTACTCGTCGTCAGCGCTATTCTGTATCACCATCTAAAAAACTCATGCTATGCACGAGCAAAGCTCAAATTGATTTTCGGCAAATGAGAAACGGAGGCAGAATCGCGGGGAACACGACCCAGCGACGGTCTAGACCGCTAGAAGATGAACTTGTAAGTTTCGAAACGGCAGAACGGGCAAGCAAAATAAGCTGTTGATTTAGCTACTTTTCGAAGATGTCTAGCAGATCCCGTCACTGCCAGTGTAGTAGAACCGGCATGAAGCGGATGCATTATTTCGAACAGCAAAACGTTTAAAAAGCTGAGGACAGGGAACGTGCGACGTGTCGTATGTTCATTCCAGATATATAACAGCTTAGAGCGGCCATATAATAGGTATGTGCGCATACGATACTTACCGTGTGAAGTACTTTATATGTTTACTATAGATCAAATGTATTGAGTTCCCTTGGATAAATTCCAAACACTTTGGAAAAAGCGTTCTTAGGAAAAGCCCTTTGAAATATGATTTGGCATATTCAAACTCTTTAGTTTATTCCACACATTTAAATGACAGACGATCACATAATATATCTGTGTGTTACCCAATGAATTTGTGTTCGGATTCTTATTTGCACGAGGGCTAAGAGCTCTCGATATAGGTAGCCCTGTGAAAAGCCTCGAGGCATAGAAGCCACAAGGGCAGATACATTCTTGAGCAAGTTAGTGATGCCTTCTATATGCTTCGAAATGTTCAATAAAGCGGAAACTCTGTTCGGTTCGAACGGCTTTATGGACTTCAGTACGTTCGAAGCTTGCGAAAGGCTAGGTCGCAAGAATGGATAAGGATCTAGATTAGGCAGAAGACGGCGGGTGGAAAGCGTGGAGATTAATGAAACTGAAAAAGCTAGCGACCTTTTGTGTCGTTTTAGTAGCTATTGCATTAAATGTGCGTAACAGATATTCAACGCATTAAAAGATAACGGTTATAGAACGCTTTAGTTATAGCAACATAATTTACGCATATAGTATGGGCCCAGTCGATAAACGTTGGGAATCAGGCGCTTTGTATATTGTAGTATAGATATATTTGTAACAATTGTATTGTAATGTAATGTATACTTATTGTCAAGCATACATTGTTTCTCTCATGTCACTTAGTACATTTTTCTGGACGAATCTGGGGTATTCTTCACCCTGATATTGAACACCCAAATATTATGTACACTCATACAGACCAAAAAATTGAACTACCTAGGTAATTTTATCACAAAACTCACCTTCTTTGCGTGCCATTTTGTCCACAGCCCTGGCAGTCGCTCCAAGCACCAGAAACCCATCGTTCACATGGGCCTCCATGACAGGCCATCACGGCTGACGGCCGTAGCGATGTATCACATTTGTGCGCTACAGGACAGCTGACCATGCGTTCGCGGGTGCCGTTGCCACAGCGAGCAGAACACTGTGTAGAGCAAAGCGTGTAATACAGAATACGGGAAACAGAACCATTACGTTAATCGATAGATCACCCCGTTTAAACCAGCCTGAAAAGACCGTTTTATCCAGATAGTAAAAGACTGTGTCAATGTATCACTCCAAGTAGAATTCCTTACGGTAATGAGGTAAACGGCGTCCCGTTATAACAATTACGAGCCGTTGACATTACTGTTGCCTGATCGTAAACCGCTAGCTATACTGAGCTTCGTTCATGTCGGAAAACATCCTTAAGAAAATGTAAGGTGAAATGATAGAATTTCTAATGATGGGACGTAGCAACGAATGGGAAGAAAATTAGAAAATTATAGTCTATTAAGACGACACAGTAATATCGAACAAACCCTAACCGAAGATTTGTTTAGTATCTAGCTGTTTTCTAAAACTAGAATCAAGCCAATCAGTTACTATTATTCGCCTCGACGGGCTGGTAAAAGTCAGGGTACAATGTCCTGCACGGTGTTCGCTTTAACCATTCAATAGCTGATCAACACAAAATTTATTTTTCCTTTGTTACTAATCCCGAATCTCCTGGCTGTCGTTTAAAACAATCGCGAACGATGCCCTTTTTGCATTCGCATCAGAATTTTTCATGCGCACTAGTGTCCTAAATCAGCAAGGCCATACTATGACAAGCTTTGCTCACAATTCCGTTTCGTATAATTTCATAGTTGGAATGATCCTAGTACGCTTGTCGGTCACCAGTTACGGTATTCCCGAGTATGGCTCTACTAATGACGTTAGCGGCTGCGCTTTCCTTTTGAAAGCTCCTTTTCTGAAGGCTTGATTATCTCAATTGTCGCTTACGTATTCTACATCTGCGAGCTTTGTCAATCTATTGCCATCTAAAGGGTTTTGTTGCGTCTAGCTTTGTCTGAGATGTAAACAGTTTTAGCTAGATTATAAGCTCGAAACAGTATAAACATAGGGTTTTTTTTGATAAGCCTTATTCATCCAAAGTGGATGTTTATACAACAGCCGAATATAGTATACAATGAATATGTACTTCTTATGTCAATTACATAGTAATCCACGGCATAAAGATTTACGCAACTGACCTTTGCATGATACGGTTAGAAGTCCGCAAAACGAACTTATGTTTCGAACGAAATACAAGATATGCTTGAGAAAACTGGCTTGATTCTAGGCTAGCGTATTACTTCACAGCTATACAACACACAGTATAAATTAAAGTTAAGTAAGGCTCCAATTCAAGAACATGTAAGACTATTTGGGTACTACGAAGGCCACCGGATGCGAACGATCATTAATTATTATGATCAAGTTAATCATGCTAAATTACTGAAACTACATAAATATAGCGTTTCCAACGACTATCTACAAATCGAATCATGAGGTACGAGCGTATGGTACCTCAGTCTGCATTAGCGCTCTAAAAATTAAGAACGTGCGAATCAAGGATTTTGGGGGAGATGTGACCGAACGTCAGCAGAAAAATACACTACTGGTAGCATGCATATTTACCTTCTGTTGAATGTATTAAGAACCCTGACTTATTCGCAGGCTCCAGTATAGGACCAACATCTGACAACCCGTCCAAATAATTAAATAGAATTTATTGAGCTGATTTACATATTACACATATCACCTTACATGGAATTAGATGAAACCGCTATAGGACTGAAAGCAATATGGGATCTTTTTAATTTCCTGATTATTAGTGGAAACTCGAAGAAACGCTAAAAAGCAGGCGGATATAGACTGAGGTTGAATGACTGACGACAGTTGAAGATAAATTAATGATTAAAAGTTAAATCAGTTACACAGTCCAGCCAATACAACATAACAAATCGGGGCAATTATCCAGCCATATCTATTGGCACCAGCCTCTATAAAGGCTGGTGCCTCTATAAGGCAAGAAGGCAAAAAGAACGACGAACGTAAAGAATCGCAAACCATGACGAGGTAAGTATCATTATCATCAGCATACTATATTCCTGTTCTTTGTCGTCTTCTCATACCAGCTTCTGAATCCAGCACTTCACCATTCTTTGTTTTTCAGTCGTTTAGAGAAGCTTCTTCTTTTTCGTTTTTTATCCTTGCCCCTTATTTTATTTGCGCTCGGAGTACGTGAAATGGTACGCAAGAAACGATTTAAGGACAGGATACAGTTGTTTAAACTTACGATATTTGCGTCGCTTTCATCGTCAATGAGTAACTAAGACGTAGCAGCGACAAGACCTTGTTCCATCGGCAGACTTGCTGCTTTACCAAATCCATCAGGGGCGGTGATGGCCACGTCGGCGTTGCTGACGTTTTTCTTGTCGCCTGGAGCCTATAGCTCTTTTGCTTCCGGGCTTCAGGCTTCCAGAGCAAGCCATGTTTCCCACATGTCTCAAGCCTTCAAACTGCTCGTACTCTTCAATCCCTCTTTTCTCTTAAACTCCCATTCGCAAGTAGACCGTTGTCGACTAGCCAAGCAGAATACAAGTCTTCGGTCAGAATACAAGACGCAAGCCAAGGCACCGGCAATATAGAAGCTGTTGCCGCTGCTGCTACTGCTGCTGAAACTATGGGGAGGACGGAGCAATGCGACAGCAAGTAGTGAAGCTTCATGACGGCAAGGAAGGCTCACTACGAGACAAGTCTTCTCATGCAAGTTTGTTCTCGCTGTACGACACACTTCCGCTATTGCAGCTTCGCCTCAAAGGGCATACTCCTTTCATGCGCTCATGGTATAGTATGGCACAACGTACCAAATTCGGACTTGTCTCAGACAATACAGGTCATGCCCGTTACGGCACAAGTGACCTCTTCGTCATACGAGCACGCATGGTCCTGTAAACACTCACGTGCGGACACCGCCAGAAGGACAGTCAACACAAGTGAAAACACATAACCCACGTCACGTGAACACATGGACGGAGAATTAAGCGACAGCGAACGGAAGTTTGCTGGCTACATGAACACTATATATGACAGACGGGTCGGGCCCATCCAAACATAACACTAGCCAAGAACAGACATTTCAATTTAGAAAAATGTTGGAAATCCAAAAAAGTCAATTGTGACGATAGTGCATCAACAAATGGTGGTTAGCCATTAGACGTTTCGAAGTAAAAAGGCAAATACAGAATAAGCAGAAGATGAAAAACGTGGTGAGGTCGTCGTAGCCAGCAATAAAACTGCTTTGGTTCCGAAGGATAATAACTGTGGACTTGGTCCGGACGCCGTTAATCACGAACTATACGATAGTTACAGATGCGTATATATGGTTTTATTTTTCGAGAAAAACAGTTTAGAACATAGCTAAATAGGTAATATGTCTCCTATATATAGTAATATGGCTATGATGTTATTAGCTTATTGTTGGATGGAACTAGGACTGACCTTGGACCACTCGTCGACTTCCCAGTCGAGGCAAGGCTCGGGATTGCAGGCTGCCATATCCGAGGGCTTAAGATGGCGCGTGTGCTTATAGCAGGTCTCGGCAGGCTGTTCCTGTTGGGTCACTTTGTCTATGCATTTTACATGACGCGATCGTTGACCACCCCCGCACCCCTTTGTACACTGAAAAGGTATGGGAATGAAAACAGCAGACGATTAGTTCAGATGATAATATCCATTTAACATACATCGATGTCGCTCCACTTAGGGAAAACCCAAAATGGCGACGATTGTATAGATCCGTGTAAGTTAAAGCGCTACCTGTGTAATACAACTACGCACAAATATACATAAGCTGTACACAGATTCAAGTAGGAGAAACTAAAAGGCCACATGGTCTGCGTATTCAGTCAAAACAAGCAGTTCTCCACTTACCTTCTCTGTCTCGTGCGATCCACTTTTTAACCAACCTTTTTGTTTTCCTATGATAATGTTATCTGTTCTCATTGTTTTTGTTGTTATAATCATCGTCCAAATTAGCTTCGCAGAATTCAGCAGGAGATCGCACGCAATTTTTTGCTTCTCACTTTTATCTTTTTCTAATAGTAACCCTTCCTTCCAAATACAGTACTTTCCTGCTTAGCTTATCCTGCATTTGACAGTGTTGCTTTTAATTGTTTCTTTTACTTCTTTGTGACCAGAACTACAGTGGTGCAGTCACTTGTGTCCACAACGCCACTTTTCGCAACGCTAAATACAGCTGAATTAAGCGTACATTCTAGACAACTAAATGTATGTGCCGTGGAGTTGTATGCGGGAGTTTAGACAGTCGGGTCTGGGGAAAGGTAACAATGAGGAAGCACGCGAGGGCTCATAGCTTCTGAGAGCCACAACTCGTTGAGGGGTTGCTCCGTTCTTGCCTCTCGTCTCGCAATGAGATAACTGCTGCCACCAACGACAACGTTACTGCCACTACACTTACTAGGGGCTCCGTTAAAGCTGCACCGACCAATGCTGCACTTGTGACACAGGTAGACAGACGGGCGAGCACATGTACATGTAAACAGGCAGAGGGCTGTAGTCGGTCATATGATTCTCTCAAAGGAACAGCGTTTGGAGGCACAGGAATTGAGCGGGGAAGGTAGCGTTGCTGTAGCAGACGAGATGAGACCCAGTGGTATTGAGCCCGATGAACGGTACAGTAGAAGTGGTGCAACGTCCCTAGCAACGACCCCGCTGCTACCTTCGACAAGGCGGTGGTATAGGGTCTTCCTGCCGCTTCCTGCCGCTACTCGGACCGATGTTGTTGCTCGAAATTTGTTGCAGCAAAATACTGCAGTAGTAACATTATATCATGATACGGGTTATTTGCCAGCGATTTGTTCACTCCTCGTCTGCCACTTGACCCAACTGTGGCTGTCAACGACGTCACCGTCACCGACCGAAACCATATCGTGATTTCACCTTTGTCTCCAGGAAATAACTACTGCCTAGTTGCGAAACGACAAGATGACGACTATGACGTAGGCGATAAGAACGCGCTGGTGGCATCATGCGACGCTATGCCACACATATGATGCAGTGGCCGAGACAAGGCATAAAGAGTGATTCCTCCAATATAAATTCGCACTGCAGTCCAGTTCACTCAAGTTTGCATCGTTCCCAGAGGACGCCACAAGATGAATCGGGTAAACAAAGAACACGCAAACTAAAATTACGGCAAGTGCGAAAAAAAGGCGTGCGTTTACCTTTTTTTTTTATCCCTGCGATTCGAAAGCAGCAAATTTAAAGACTCTTGAACTAGGGTCTCGTCATGCCCTTTTAGTATATAGCCTGTTGCCACAGTAACAATGTCAGCATTGGTCAGCGCTAAGAGCGGAGACATAGCCGTCTGCGTGTAGTGCCTACAGACAAGGCTCGATAAGGTAAACGTTCGCATTCTGTTTCTGTTCGTATAAGAGATGGTGGATCATCTTCCTTTATATTTTCTTACCTATTCATGTTGGTGTCTTCGTCTTTATCGGTTAATTCAAGAAATTAGTATACCCTAATACTTACTTTACTCCACTTGGATGCTCTCCAGGCATACCTAGCGTCCTCGAGAGTGACCCGCTGTCTGCGGGCCTCCTCACGACCCCCATCAGAACCCTGGGAGTCACCTGGACCCCATGTGGGGTTTGAACTAGCCGGGTCAGTGCCCGGCGCCTGCACCTCCGTCCGTTGTCCGGGCGGGTAGATCATCAGGTTACTCTTAGAGTCCTCAACCACTTCCTGAGGACGCTCTTCATCTGGAAATGAAGATCAAAACCGAATTCACAGCAAGGAAATATATAGATGTTTGTACCATAAAAATACACATCTGGGGTTTGCAAACACCACTGCCACAGAGAGAATACCCAGTATTCTTAAATTTGAAAGAAGCCCTTGTCAAGAAAATTCGCAATCAATATATTATAGAATTTCGTGATATATGGGATAGAGCCATCGCGAATGTGGGCAAGGGCTATTCACACTTTTACATGTATGTCCGAATCTCTATTACATCGTATACATCCGCCAATTAACTCCAGGCCATTTCCTACTTTACGATTTCGAGAACAACGATGAACAGCTGAAATCAATGTGAATTGTTCTGCTCATGCTCTTGGCTGTACCAATGAGGAAGAACATCATGTGCAAGTATATAAATTATTGCATTCGCCTGCGGGGGCCATCGGAAACAATACGCCTGAACAGCTGAGATAGAAGCTTGCATTATAGTCCTGTGTTGATTAGTTCACAGCTCACCCAGCTTCGAACATGATTTCTACCCAAGCGACGACGGTGGCTGCAACAAGGGGTGTGAGCAATTTTGATACCTACATGACTAGTTAGATTTTATTTGTATTCTAGTCGCCCCAGAATCCCAATTGGCTACTTCTGCTGGCGCCGTAGTCGTAACAGAGAGGTACTTTGGTTATCGTAAACGTTCATTTAGATCACGACCCGCGTCGTTGTTTTAATGGACACCTGCAAGAATAGCTGCAGCTAGCTCATTGAGAAGCCTTAATACGAGGCGCAAATATTAAGCAAACGTCAGATAGTCTCCCGGCTATTTGATCGAGGAGACTGTCAAAGTTGGAGTATTTAGAGTAGTACCACTCTTAATGTTCGTTTGGTCCCGGTGACCGCTACAATGGCGCCGAAACGCTTTTGTTTGCTCGAGATCCAGCACAGCCGTATATCATAATTCCTTGATATTTCTCGACATAGTTTTCTTCATTCTTTCATACACAAGCTAGTCAATGGTGTTGCTATAGGCCTGCGCCCAGCCCACCACGCTTTCAGGAAGCATGTCCAGTGGCAGCCGCTCACTCCGCGACGAATTTCCATACCAACTTAAGTTCCGTATACTTTTTCAAACCACCGGGAACGGCTTCGAGCCCCTTTTCCCAGATACCTCCTTCCTCCGCCTGCGCTTTTTAGTGACGATGTTTATTTGGTAGCACGGAAAAAACACTGCGAATTAAGAAAGCAGGTGCACAAATTGAGGCGTGGACAAGTGTTCGCTGTCCTATCCCCGTGCAAGCAAGCGAATCGAAGAACAACGACGGATACGTTCAGTTTGCAACCATTTAAAAGAATACAAGAACAACAGCTAGCAAAGATGAGTCGTGTTCGTCACCTCACGTAGTGAGCCTGTGTACTTATCCGCTTCGTCGATCACATGGCGGCATGAAAACTCCGATTGATCCTAAAGCTTCCTCAGACGATTTGAATTTTACCTTAGGATACAGACCGCAGACGACATAAGGCGGCCGCATGCGTACATATACGACTGGGTTTTCTGGCAATATACTTTGTTAAGCAACGTGTCGCTGTCGCCTTTACTAATAGTATTTGGATCTTAGATGGTTTACAAAGGTAGCGAAGACATGAAATTTTGTTGAACCCATTGTTGCATATCATTACCTGTTTGCGATTAAAGAAACGAACGAGTCTTCTTAAAATACGTATACAATTCGAATACGTTTTGGCAGGTTATGTGTCGTGTCGAGCGTATGGAAAACGACTGTTCTTTTTTTTATGAAGAAACTATACATTCATGTTTCATTCACGGACAGGATTTCATCGTATGCTTGCAGCACACATCTGAATTTGTTAGATCATAACTGAGCGCGAGTGAACGAACTTTTAGCGTAACTTCATTGACTAGCTTAACGTCGCTGTTAAAAACGCTCGAATGTATAGAGATGTTTTGATATGGGCATATGAGCCGTTGAAGCTACGAATAGAAATCATGATCAAAGCCAACGATAGTTACATTGAATAAACAGGTCAGTAAAGGATGTGGGTACATGCGGAATTATCCGTGTTGAAAAATTTACTAAGAAAGAGGATGCCCAGATGCAATCCATATTAAATGAGAGTTTAGCGAGGTCGTAATCTTATATTACCTGACGCATGGACAACCTTCTCGACGGTTTGACGAAAACGATGATCTGACCCTATTAACATAAAAATGACCTGCAGCAAATCGTGTCGCTGCAGTAGCTCAGTATCTGACATGCTGCGTGACGTTGAGCAGATTTTGTGTACCCACTTCGGGAGATCGATACTGTCAGTAACAACATAGCTGAAAAATTTTTTCATTGAGTTTCTGAATCTGTTTCTAAAGGGAGAGAGAGAGAGAGAGAGAGAGAGAGAGAGAGAAGGGCAGGTTTGCGGATATACTTTGGATGTGGAGAGCGGTGCGACGTGCATGGAGTGATAAGAGAGTCTCTTTTCGTTTTGCGGGATTCGATCCTATGGACCGTGCAAGCGCCCAAAGATTTCGAGGCAACCATGCTTAACCCATTCTCCTCCACCACCACCACCGAAAGGCTTCCTCAGAAACCTACTTAGGATCATCGATTTCGTCGATACTTAGCTCACAATCGTCTGAATCGCTCCACTGTATAATCCCAAATGATCAGACTTCGTGTCAAACTTAATTGCGAAACCTGCTTCTTAATCAGCCCCGGGTCCCAATGCCAGAACGGAGATAATGCCCTACCTGCAGAACATGCTCCGTCGTAAGTCATTCACGACACTCCTTGCTTGTCTCGTCGCTTCGAGATTTTGATAATGATCTCATGCGGTAGTTCCAAGCGTTCAAAGAGTCAGCAATTGCAGTAATTGAAGATGTCTCCAGAACTGCAGTTTGAATGGGAAGCGCCACTTGTATGGTGGGAAAGAAGCTTGGCATCGAGGTATAGCAGTCACCGTATCGAAAGTTTTTTCCTGCTGGGTATGTGAGTCAGAAACATTAGTTGATGAACTGATGTGTCATTAATGTAACCAAGTGGTCAAGAGCTGGAAATGGGAAATTAGTTGATAACTTTACCGGCGTCATTGTTCAGCTAAAGGGACTCATCCTGGCTGCTGCACTCAAAGACACTCCTTTCAGCAGTTGTCGTTTTCTGATCTTGCAACTGCCTTGCCTTGACTGGCTGACCTCGAACTGGCTAAACAAGATAGCGTTTTTGAAATCTGTGTTTGTGATCTACGGTATAAAGAGTTTTTTTTTTGCGGTACGCATTATCTCCAAATGACGGATATACCTAATCCAGAGATGCTCGCCTTAAACTTTAGAAAATTATGAAAACTGGTAATACAGATAGTTATGGCTCCATTGTGATCCACACCGTGGCGCCGCGGGGAGAAGTAGTTTTAATTACTATGTCAGTTTGTATGACTAACAGCTTACTCCGTGGGGCAAAAGCAAACTACATTGTGGGCACATCAGAGCCAGCCACATCAATGGTCCGCTAAATTTTCTCAAATTAGCCATAATCTGATAAAAACTGGTACGATATGAAATAATTATTTAATCTTGCAACATATATAAAGCAAATGCACCAAGTGTTATTAAGGCCACGCTGATTCGTAGCGTCCTAAACGTTTAAATATAATATAATATAATATGATAATATTTATCCACCATTGATATTGTATATTTGGCAACGCGTTTATACAAAAATATAATACTCATAGACAATATCATAGAACAAATGATCATCATGCATTCGTATGGCTTTTCACTTTAGCGTCCATAAGCTTCAAAGAAGAGGGCAAGATTACGGCATAGTCGCTGAGCTTGCAATAGCATCAACGTACCAAACTCCCGAGCGAATACATCAATGGGCAACAGGCCGCATGGCATTGATCATAGTTTCTTCCGCATTTGCCATAAATACACCCCTCGAGAGGTCCATAGGAGCGCCTATCCTGTGTACAATTTGTGGTGGATGGTAAAACAGAAGACTACGCGATGGTTTGTTTGTTTCGGTTCCGCCCAGTCACTGCTTCTCATCGCTCTCATGCTGAAAAATTCATCGGCTATTTCGGAGAACTTCTCACTGATTTTATGCTCGGCATATACTTGGCGGAGGTCAAAATGAGATCTCAGATCCTCGATAAACAGCAGCGTGTTAGCAAGGAGGTAAATTAGTCGGCTTGTTGCTGTGCAATGAAGACTCCAAAAAATAGGCCTTTACTCATTTACAAAATTATCTACTGTAGGCACTGCCCATGTTATATCTACACCTTAGGTCGTTGCCAGTGCCACTGTGAAACCGAATAGGCGAAGCGTTACCAGACAAGAAAGGCGACGTGGAATCTTAATTGCACAAAATGTCGTCAACGCTTTTCCGTCTTCTTATGCAATATGCGAGTTGAAGCTGTGACCATGAAAAAATCTGAGTAGCTCGAGATACCGAAATCTGTTGAGTTTTCGGAGAGGACATTACAAACCGTGACTAAAAACCTGAACTCTACCTCAAAACAGAGACCAAACAGCGCGCTGCGTCCAAGAAATTACGATCTACGAGCACAAAAAATCGTATTCTGAGTATCATGACAATTTCATGTGAGGCTACCTCACGCTGTCGCTTATCGATCTGAAAAACAAGACCCTTAAGTGAAATATGATTTTTTGGCCTATTAACAAAACTATAACGAGCCAGTTATGTATGATTTCACTTTATACATCCGGTGGCTCGAATAAAATAGGCGTCGTCGACACCAGTCTAGACTGTTATCTGTAATCTTTTTATTACGACTTGTACTGTGAACTTTCAGGTACGCGGATTGCCAAGCAGTACCTTCAGTGGGCGACAATTCTCTACACATTCAAGTCTATTTATTTGATTTTAATCTGAGAAATACGACTGTAGTTAAATTATTGTCTTGTCAATTTAATAAAAAAATGCATGAGGTCAATAAATGCCGAATCCCGTTCAGCCAGGACCCTTAACCGTAAAGACTATCCTACAAATTTACCGAGAATTTCTAATTAATATGTCTGGCTCATTTTTATATGTTTCGCTGCATACGTAAACAAGCACATATATATAGCTTGGTGTCACTATTGCGAAAATACTCGCCATACGTTTTTTTTTCCTATACTACAGTTAACTTATTGCTATAAAGCGCCTCGACTGCCCTAGAACGCTGCACCAATACAGATCATATACTGGTCACAATGACCGTTGTAATAGGGCTATAAGCGAAACAACATGTAGAGAAGTGGAGGTTAACGTATATCTTTTCAGTTGTCCATCTTGCTATGAGGGCAATCATACTCGGACCTCGATCCCGGCATCATTGCCGATCGCGTCTTAGAGGAAGAGGTAGCATACTGCTATGCTATACATATATAAGAGAAAGAAATCGAGAAGGGACACAAAAAAGTACCAAATAACCCTCCTGTTCCGTTATTTATACCCGCCGCCCGACTGCCGTCTCTTTGCGGCAGGACGTGCGGGGGTAGGCGTTGTAAGCAATATGGCGCTGCAAGCCCCCGTCGGCAACAACTGCCATCTGCTGGCGATGCATGCTCCACCTGCTGCAGTTACTTTTTTTCTTATGATAGAGTTTGCTCCGTTACTCTTCCGTATCTATTCTGCATTAGGTTTGTAATCATCGTCTTGTCGAGGCGACACTTTCGCACATTTTGCAGCACTTTGCTATGGTAAGAGAGACTGCTGATATCATCAGCTGGCTGGTTGATTCTCTACCGTATCATAGATATAGCGGTACCGCTAGTTTGGCAGCACACTCACCGCTGTACACATCGGCAGATTTCTATATACCGGATAGGTACGCATAGGGTAGTATGTGTATATGATATGTATGATAATTAGATTCCTTTATAATTTTAAATATGATACACAAACTTTAGTTACATATAATCACAATCATGTAGATACCGGCTAATCAATGATAACCATCTATTTAGAATCATTTTACATTAGGTTGAGGACCAAATATAAATATGCAGAGGCACACAATGTAGATTAAGATATGGAAAGCAGCGACTGCATGCACGGTAGTGATTGAGCGCGATAGATATGTACATTCTCACATAGGCGATCGATTATCACCTCAAGTCTTAGTATCGTTTTAGCTAGGATAGTGAAAGGATTGACAGAGACCTAAATCGCTACTACCTTTAATGCTATCAACGAAAAATAATCATAAAATTTACTTACCGTTTTGTTAATCTGCAATGAGTGACAAAAATACTATATACGTATATTAAAAACCTAATAAAAATAATTATAATTAGCTAATGTGTTTATCCAAAGCCAACTTTTTATGATGTTGTAGATGTGTTTCTTAGTAATAAACAACTGATATTTACTGCCATAGATCCACAATTCAGCAGAACAATATATTGTCTTCTCTCTTTGCAAAAAAGTGAAATTTTCGGCTTTAACAAATTTACGTCTCGTTGACCAAATGATGGTCCCTTCACCCATTACCCTGTGAAGTTGATTTTGTTTGGTTTCATTACTACTGCAAGGTTCCAGTACCGTTCCATACCACTTACTAAACATTTACTCAGCCTCAATCAAACTGAACATTGCTATACCTCTACTGGCGATTATGCATGCTAACGTATTAGGGCGGCCCTCAAACGTGCACTGCACAAATATAGGGCAACCTGCGTTTCTGTATAGCATAGCTACAAACATACTGAGCCCAGATCGATTCCTGTTGTTCTCACTTACGCTTACCTTCCGTATCATCGTACGGCTGAGGTGCCGACGGTTCTTCTTCGGCAGGGCACGGATTTTTATTGCACGGCCGCACGGAAGCTGGTTGTTCGCTCAGCGCACAACGTTCGTTACCTCCACTGCATGTCACCTTGCGAACCTGGAGGCCGCCTCCACACGATTCCGAACACTGTAACCCGCGTTTAATAGGTCCAAAGTGAAGTCCACGAAGCGATGATGGGTGGCGCGCGGGTGCCGAATCAGAAAGGTTCGGGAAGAAGGGCAGTTGCGTAGAGAACAATGGGATATCGAGGAGACATTGGAAAGCAGATGACAAAATACAGTTAGAAAGAGAATAGTGAACGAGGTTGTAATAAGCGCACAGGATCGGTTTCTGAAGTAGACGAAAAACTAGCAAACTGATCAGAAGAATAAACGGAGTAAAGTTGAATCGTTCCCCCGCTACGTGTCTGACAGATACGCGACAGGCAAGAATCATAATGATGAAAAATGATCAATCTGTTTAAATCTGGTATAAAACTTGCTCATTAGAAAATAGGAGTGTCAGAATAAAGATATTGAAAACGCTTCACTGTATAACTGCTGATACTTTGACGTTGAGCATAAGATAATAGACGATACTAGTACAACTGGATTGAGACAGCTAGCTCTTTCATTGAACTTTTAGCCATATGCTTTACAGAACCTTTTTATAAAGGTGACAATGATTCAGTCATCATTTGTAGACTGTCTGAACATACCTCGGACCAGGCTCCAGTGTTCCAGCGCCCACACTCGCTCGGATCGCAAATGCGAATATTTGCTGGCCGAGTGCCGTTATCGCAGCCCTCGATCTGTCCACAACTCACGTCGCGTGTCTGATTAGCACACGGGCTATGCCGACACGTCTGAAACCAAAAGCATAAAGTAACGCATTATAATTATTGCATCATAAATGAGCGGCAAATATTTAGTTAAAAATAGTGTACTTAGGAATCGGCAAATCAGAACCAGCAATTTGGGCTGCCCCTCGTTAATTGAACCTTGATAGCGATAAAAATATTTTTAGTCGTCAGTCAGAATAAAGATGTTAAACTGTACACTTACTAATGTGTGTGCACAAATCTTGTTTTATAGAGATTCTATGGTAGAGAGTTCAGTTTTCTTCCTCCCTTAGGTTAGGCTGATTGAATCTCATAATTTACGTATCGTAGATATTGATTGAGGTTACGCAGGGACAGTGTGAAGTCACGATACAGATAAAAAGCTCCTTCATTATATACGGTTCGGAGCAGGTGTGGCTTTTGAAACAAGAATCAATTTATAGCGACAGCTTTATTTGTGATTTCGTAATTTTATACCTTGTAAATCATATTATAGGGTAATCCATAAACAGGGATATCAAGTTTGTGTAGGGTTAGCCCATTATCTACAATGACGTTAGACAACGTGTGTCAGACGACACAATAACGTCCCTTCCTAGCTTTTCATACGCATAGCGAGGGGTAGTTTTATAATTACGTAAGCCCTCGCCTACATTGTTTTCCACCATAACGTGCTTGCTTAACTCGCTAGATTTGCGATCAAACTTCCTATCACTGTGCACCAATATCCCATTGTGTTTCGAAATCTTTTCTCCAGTTTAGAGGAAAGGCCTTCAAAGGATTTACGGAATGGCCGAAAATCTTTGTTTGATAGGGACTAAGTTGGCAATCCTTGATTGGTCCTTAGAGGGGTCTGCATATCGAATGTAGACAATAGAGCGGTATAGAGATTGGCATAGGAACATCAGTGAAGGCATATGTAGTTGTGAGATCGATTAGTTGCCGAGCCAACATTCTCCTCCTTCCTATTATGGCCCCCAAGTATTTTTCAGCTATCTTCTCCATTAACGTTCACCAATATCCATAGTGAGTTCATCGAATTGACTGGCTGTATCAACGTTCTTTTGCTGAATGCGCCCACAGTCCATTTCCCTCTATTCCAAATAGAGGGTTGCCCTTCCCTACACGACCAGACGTTACTACTGCTGTATCTAGCAACGCGTGCTTGCAACTAAAAGAATTTCGATCGGAATAGCAGTGTTTTCCAGCAGAACGCGGACCCAGCGGCCGGACACTGTTCTACACACTATGATAATGTGGCCCTTATACGCAGATGCTCAAGTTTGCATTGTCTCCAAATGGGAAGTACAATTTTTAAATGCTAAAATAAGAGAACTTGGCCGCTCGCTCGGTTACCGCAAGATGCTTCGAGAGAAACCGGTGAGTAAAAACGGGTGATGGCCAACAAGTCAGATATGGTGTGCCTTTGGGCATAGGTACTATAGCCAAAATTCCTCCTTGAAAAGGAACATCTACACACACACACGGACCAACATGTGTACACATGCACCTAAACAGAGGCCAAAGTGGGCTGGCACACGAGAAGGGCGTCGTCCGGAAGAGCGATGGAAAAATTGGACGTCATCGCATGACCGCGGAGGCCTTCTTAAATATGATCTCTCTTAGCATGTGCTCACCAGCCGCAGCACGGATTACGTTGCCTAAGGTTTCTCAAGTCGTGTAGCATTACAGCCTTAATGCACATAGACGTCATAGCTGAAGATGCCTGGGAACAAAATGCTGTTTCCACTGGACTGGACATAAAAGTTCTATTTATATGCACAGTGCTTTAAGTTTTACGGCAAACGTCGTTGTCTTCGACGGCAGACAAAGCAATCTGTTCAACGAGTGTATCGTTGTTTTAATTGTTTTTAACGCTAAAATGAAACCTTCCACTATTTGCAATAAATGTATCTATTATTATTATACAGTATATATTATTATTAGCAAATTTATGAAATTCTATTGTGACACACACATGTAAATAAACAGATATAAAAAACGTAGATCTACATAGCTGAAATTCGTTACTATTAGTAATCTCCATTTCTAGTATCTGTAACTTTGTAACCTTGATCCTTGAAATCTGTCTCCATCTTTATTTTGTTACGACCTGACGAAAACGTTAACCTTTACCTGAACACAAATTCTACATCATAACGAACTGCAAACAGGTTTTACGGATATTTCCCCATCAAGTTTTTCAAGTATCTGCCCGTTAAGTTATCAAGTTCATCACGTCTGATTTTCAAATGACATTTTAATGATTGACGAATGGACATTATTATGAGCCTATCCTCAAGAACCCTCAATGGTTTCACTACAGCTGCCGCTTCAGCACGTCCACGTGCTACACTGTAGGTTTGCAAGTTCCCGCTCGTGTTCGCTGACCGCGTAATTTGATCAATGCGTCCTTCGCACGGGCTGCGGCAGTAAACAGCGTGTATCGTGTGATGGGCACTCACATCGGACCATTCAGAGGTGATCCAGTTCGGGTCTTCGGGACAGAGTGGCGTGACGGGGCAGGGCTCCAGGTCGTGGGGTTTCGTCACCGCTGCGCACCTATCGTCCGTAAGTGCCAGCTGCTCGTCTGGACCCAACGATCTAATCAGGACATAGCATACACATAGATAAGTTAGAAGTCTACTCTATATTAACACAAATCCAACTCGAACGGCAAGCGGTTAGTTGTAGTCTTCACACTACAGATAACCTATAGTGTTAGTCATGATTTTTTTATTTTATGTTCCGCTCAAGTCATCTGGCGTGGCATACGTAGGATGAAGCCACTAAACATCATGCTTTGGCTTGCTATATGAAACTACTAAAAACCATTATATTAGGTCATTTTACAAGTCTAAAAAAGCCCTGTATTTGTTTTACATAGAATCGACAAATTTGCTAAGAAACGTTATGAAATATTGTCCATTGTTTTCATAGTAACTCTTTCATTATTTTCATTTTCATTTCATTTCATTTTTATTCAAAATCAAATCATGTTAATTTTTTGGTATTTTTATAGCTTGATATTATTATTACTGCCGATATGTTTATTACTATACTGCTAGGTGTCTTTTTCACCTCTATTTTTCCTCCTCCTTCGAACAAAAAAAACGTTCATATAACCAAATACACATCGGATATACGATGTATAGATTATAACCGACTAGAAATTTCCTCTCATATTAATATGATAACATAGAATTATCGAAAAGTACCAGTTGGAGCCGTCTTTCGTCTCAGGTTGAAGAACCAAAGTATTTATATAATTATAATTTCAGCCTCGAGCGATTTCAGCGAACCGGCCAAAAATGCAGACGAGATTGGAAAACAAGTGGCCCTTACCCCTAGTTTTCCATTAACATTCCCCGTTTCCATCTTTGTTTCATTTCAAACGACATTGCAAACGACCTTACGGCTTTGTAAGCTTAAACATACTATACATCTTTATCGAACATGGGTGCAAACTTTGGTGCGCCGCTTAACGACGCGCAAACGCACATACGTCTAACACCGAAGTAGCATGGATGGCTTTACAAACCCCGATGACAAAATAGCCATTTCTGCTACTAATTGTTTCGACTGATCCTAAATTACGATGATGCACGGTTGGGCATTAGAGGAGAATACCAGAATTAACACTAGCCTTCTGATGTAGAAGATGTCGTGCGTCGAGCGCCAGGCGGACGCAGCCATCCATACTGGCTGGGCAAGCCAGAAAAATGGCAGCCCTTGAAGGACCTCGTCCTCAGTCTCTTTGTTTTGAGTTTGACCAAAGAGTAGAGTCTGTGCAAATTCAAACTGCAAGCCCCTCTTCAAATTCGTCGTGAAGGCCATTCGACGAATGAGGCCAAACCATACACCACGCTGCATGCCAGGACTAATATAACATACATGAAAACGGTTAAAGGGCTCAGGGACTTTTGAGGTAATATTTTAACACTTCCGAAAAACTTGGCCCATCGAAGGGCACTTAATAAAAACGACGAAATTTATGGAGCTTAAAAGTGTGTTTAGGAGGCAGCTCTTTTCTTCTCTCGGTGTGGAGAAAACGGAAATTTTCTAGGTGAAAGTACCTTCTAAACAACTGTCGATGAGCTATCGGTAGTTGCTACATATTCTTTTCTTTCCTTTGTTAACATCGCACTCATTCTGGATTATCAAAAAGACATAAACGTCGTTAGTAGATACAATACCACAATATTATTATGACCTTCTGGAAGCAGAGAAGGTAGCAGCCCGTATCTGCGCATTGGACAGACCGGGGGCGCCTGGATTTGCTGTACTAACCTACTATTGCCTTACCTCGTTGTGCCCCCATGGCTTGAGTACCCCTCCCCCCTCATCTCTCGATTCACGCACAAAAATCGCTGCGCCCCTTCACCTTGACAACAGACGGATAAGAAAGTGCGAGATGGAAATGGTCCTCAGAACCAGACGACGAGAAGTGATCCTAAGGACGGCTGCAAAGCTGGCTTGACCAAATTTATAACTCTCTAGGGGCAGCAATAATGAACCTTACAGGCCATAAACCATTCGTAATCTTCCATCCTTGACGGAGGATATGGAGTCCGTTTTCCTTCATGCTCAATGGCTAGCAAAAAGAAAACCCAGAACAGGTTTGCGATATACACTTGACATTGTCAATTTAGTGCATTTGTACTTCGCTGCAAGCAGCTTCCCTGGTCGTCTTGCCATCGCATAGTGCCAGTGGACTGATAATATAATTCCTGCGTTTAGGTAAAAAAACTTTACCGAGTAGAAGCTAAATGCTGAAGATGGCTTCACATTTAAATCAGCGTCTATGGTAATAAGTCGGTCCTTAAGCTGGAAACTCAAACGTCGTTGTTTCGCATTCAGTGAGGATTTTCACCAAAATCAGTCTCTCGTTATGTAAATATAGCGCATAATTAAAGCTTCGCTGTTACAAGAAGTCGAGTTTCATGCAAACAACAATTAGTTGTTAACCTTCTTATAGTACTCTATAACGAAGTAACGGATGGTGATGGTATTTTAGACCGCGTGTAGAGATAGCGATAACTTTCCTGTCGATGACCAAATCTATCTCGCTCAACTCATATCGTTTCTTGCTACTAGGTTGCAACGAAGTCCGCAGGCTTATACGGTTACGACTCAGCTATAACCTATACTGCCAATGATATAGCTAGATCCCTCGCAAACACGTATAGAAACTGGATTTACTGCACTGCTAATATTCTGAAATCGTCATCTTGTTAGTTCCAGCTATCAGTGCAAATTTCAATCTAGGTCCATAAAATACTTCACTAAAGCGGGCCGTACTTACTAGATGAAGCCTATTTTTCTAGTGGATTTTTGGGGAACTGACACGCTAACAACTATTCACGACCAGTTTATATCATCACGCGAACATCACCCGCTACTAACTATGTTATATGGAGCGGGACATAGATCGTCGTAACAAGCCAGCCAATGATGCCGTTCGAAACCAGACGCCTAACGGCAGACTATATACATTCTGTCGCTTATTAAGTAAATTCTATAATTCGAACTTCAAGGTTGTTTGCAGGTGCGTAAAGCTTTCATCTTATTACTTGTTCCCATTATAGTCATTTCATGGTGCGTATTCGTCTAAAAATTTGGTAGTTTCAACATTGAGAGTAATATCTAAAATCGAATACTAGAAACACTAACCTGACGCAGAGTACGGTTCGTTTACGTCGTCCTTGATCACCACACGTGGCGCTACAGTGTTGCCATGGCCCTGTCCACCAACGAGCTGGGCACTGATGTATGTTGCAAGTTCGTTTAACCGGTTTTGGTTTGGGTGCGTGAGCACAATGAGTGTCCTCTACTAAACCGGCCTCTTTTTCCATGCATTTGGCAAACGATTCCTGATAACCTGCAAACCGACAACGTACTTTGTACTGCAGAAATGTCTCGTACGACTATCTTAACTGTTATGATTGTTGCGATCATTGAAAAAAGCTTGACTTTATATGATACACCAAGCAATTTATACAGGTCACAACATGTGTCAAATGAAAAACCCTACATGCTGGAGGCCGGGGTTCACAGTGCTACTACTTAAAGATCATTCAACCTTTGCTCGACGCCTTTTCCTTTGCCGTAGGCAAACGCACCTCGAATCGATTGCCAGCACCACGAAGGCAGTTTACGACATTCCCCTGTCGTAAAACACAACGGGATCAGTGGCGCCTACGGGCCAATAGGCTGTGCACCTATAGAGAGCAAAGGTGTTGGAAACGAAAATTCATAATGGCATAACGTGGCCCGAAACACATACAGGTTGGGCGAAGTCTGCAGCATTAGCAGTTTGCCAGAAACAAACATTGTAAGCACAGACCCAGCGTGCCAGCTTAGACAATCACCACACCAATGAAGAATGGAAATAAGGCGACTATGGGGCTGTGGATACTTCGAAATTAAAGGCAGCAGATTAAGTGACGAGTTAAACACTTAACGAGCCGCAAGTTAAGCGACAGCGGTAGTCGACAGTGGTGACTGAGTATCTGAGGGAACATCTCGCATGCACATCTTTGTACTACCTTATGCTGTTAATGCACGACTTAATATCTTCGATGGATCAACTCCTAATTATTAGGATCCCTTCGTCCATTAGAATCTCCTTTTAATTCAGTTTGTTATTCGTACGCAGCGTCACGATTTCAAGCATACAGTTTTTTCTCTTTTCATGCATGGTTCTCACTGAATGGCTGAGTACGCCTGTACAAGTCGAGCTTCAATCCTATCTAGGCATCTGTACCTTACCTCCTCCACAGGTGACAGAACAGACCGTCCAGTCTGAGTATTTCCACTCGAATTCCGGTAGCCTAGTGGCATTCGACTGGGGCAGGGTATACTCGATGCTTATGCCGGGATTCTCAGACTGGAACAACAGCTGAAAAAGCCGCCGACATCGACAACATACAAATGAATGGATATCTGTTCATAGTACGAACCTAAAGCGTTGCTCGTCCTAGTAGTTTGCAGTTGACACCTCGCAATATTATACCCCTCGCGGCAATCGACGAGACGGAAGGCATTCACCTACCGGAATCGACTCTTGCCGCCTCGTTCTTTGATGCGTGGCTTATTTTCAGAAAAGTTCGTCGAACAAAGGTACTGACAATCGTTTACTCAGAATGTGAGAGTGAACGACTGTGACAAGGGTGACTTTTATTTTCGGGGATTTTTCTTCAAGCCGGCTTTCTTACCACTCGGCTCTAATTCTTCGGCTGGTTATCCTCTAAGTAAAAATACTAAGTTGCTCACGCTCTGCTGAGAACATCTTTCAATCATTTTGCTTTAGTTCTGTCAACTAGGTTTGAATGTGTGTGTGTGCTTGTGCGTAATCCATGTGCAATCAGACACAATTCGCTCTATACAAGTTGAGACAAGAGCCCCGCAGCTATTAACTTATGGTCCAAATTTGTGCATACCTTAATTTTTGGCTAAAAACAGGGTTCCAAAGGTGATTGTTGTTGCTGCTGCTAATATGATGTAACCGGTGAAAGGGACTGCTTACTGACACTAGCTAGACTTAGGTATTATATCAGTATTATATTGAAATTACTCGGGCAATGCATTAAGATTATTTATTTATTGATGTGTTGACACTATTTCTTAACCTTGTTATTAAGTATTGGATAGCGGAAATATACAAACACAAATTACTGAGAAACTTATGTCGCCATGTGTACTTTAACAAGCTATTGCAAGCTGTTGCCGTATTGTCGTCTGCAGACGTCGTACAATTTTTTCTGTTTAATTCGGATAAAATTATCGTCAGGTTACAGCTTACGTAGATAATAATGTCCTCCTTGATAGGTCCTGGCGCGTGCAGTAGCTCCTTTTCACCTTCTCGTTGATAAAACAACGTTGTCCCTGCAGCTGGGTACTCGCCTGACCACTGAATAAACCATTCACCATTCAGGTAAAATTCTCCATCGCTACCTTGTATCGCGATATAATTCGTTGATTCGCTGACCTCCTCGATTCGAATATTGCGTGCTCCCTGAGGGATGCGCCCGATCTCAGCGTAGCCTAGACAGCGTACACGGTAATGGGGTAAAGGGCCGATTTACGGTACGCGCGGACACGTAGACAGTGCAGTATCATAGCAGATATTATTTCGTGATGCGAGCAGGGAATAAAGGAAAGAAGGAGATAAAGACAATAAGTTATTCAGTGTAACGACACAAATACAAAACTTCGGCGACAAAAGCACAAAAATTGATTCATTTTCATATGCTGCTACAATTGACATCGAGAGCAGAGCGTTTGTGCGTAGGTATCGTATAATATCTGTACGTTTACGAGAATGATTAGCACAGCTAGCGGCTGAAATAATCCACTTAAGGCAGGTACCGAACCCAGGACAAAGTAAAGCCTCGCGTTGCTTGGCGTCGATCCAAATGTAGCAAGCAACCCCAAGAAGGCCCAAAGTGGGAGAAGGAACACCCTCATTTGTTTGATGTGGCCAATACAAGTGACCTGAACACAGGCATGATCAATGACATGCAACCTATGGAATCTGTGAGTACCGTACTCTGTCGAATGAAATTATCCTACGTACTTGAACCTGTCACGCCTGCAACAGCCCTAATTGGGCTAGGAACTTTACAACGTTCAGTTTATGGAAGGCTTATATACATATCAGTTTAGCTCGAAAGAAATTCAGAAATCCACTATGAACGTAATCATTTCGAGAAGTCAAAATAGCTTTTCTTGGGTTTTGTATAAGGGGAATTAGATTGTTTATAAAAGTGACCATATTCGTGTAAATAGAGAACCAATGTCAACCACCAATGTGCCAGCCTCGATTATTATAGTCAACCAGATATAAGTCGCGTAAACCTATTTAATGCGTCTGCTAATTAAACGGGCTCCCTTGAGTTCGGAGGCTATTTTTGAAAATTTATACAGCCGCCTGCTGATGGATGTTCGCTTCATTTCGTTAGCGAGTGCAAAACAGACTCGCGTGCCATTACGGCCTTTTATTAATAAGTGGTGCATTTTGTGAATTTTATAGTTTAGCAGATGCATCACCATACCAATTTACATTCGTTTGTATTTAGTGTTAAGTGGATTAACTGTTGGCCGCAGCTTCCGTTTTCCGCACAAATTTCGCATTGACTTGTCAACGCAATTTATGAAATGTTTCACGGGATGCCGCTAGAAAACAAAAACGTCTTTGACGATTTCCTCAAGGACACCTACGCATTGGGCTTTGTATAGCATTGTTTTTAGCACATAAATGGGCCAAAGCTCTGGCAGGTTATTATTTTGAATCCTTTAGGTATATTTATATAGGTAAAGGTCTCATTTGAAAATTACTGTTTATTTCATCGTAGATCCTCTGAGCAGATCCTAACCTGGATCTCGTAAACCCAGAACAATATAGATATCAACATAGTAAGAAAGAGTATTTGACTTACTTTCAGCTGTTTCATTTGTGTTCGTCAAGCTCGGCAAATAGGTAACAAGTAAATCAACAAGCTTGTACTATACAATACCACCGATAAAGAACCCGAGGGTGGGTTAGAACCGAGCGCCACTCCCCAGGTCCGTATTCTGGCATTCGGCTTTAGAAAGCAAAGTAACTACTCATACCACTCCAAAGCTCAAAGCATCGTAGTGGAAAGTTGACGCCCAGCAGTTTGTAAAAGCTAGAAGGACAACGATAAAGGACACACTGTTTACGCTGCAACGGAATACAAACACGAGTAAAGCGTATTGGATTCCCCGACAAACCGCACACATATACCAACAAGAGAGGGTATACGATCGGACGAGAGAACGCCTTTATTTTGGCGTCAGCAAACTCGACAATATCTCAGGGTAACCCGAAATAAACAACCCGAAATATGTACATGTTGCCAGAGTATCTTTTTCAAAAATGTCCAACGTAAACTTTCATTCATGGGATTTGCTTCGACGCACAAAAACTAGGAATCTGCCTTCACAAATCCTTCCAACAACCGGCGTTCGAATAAGCATTTTTCATCTCCCTGTTTTTGAGAACGTTTTTGTGCGTCGAAAAACATCGAAGAAGGATCTATAAGCTTGTGTCCGTCGGTTACTCTCTTCTGACCACTAGAAGTCGAATGTTGTATGTTTATCCTAAATGTTTGTTGTTTTCCGTTCTATTCGAGTGAATGCTGTTCCTCACCTAATCCTTCGCGGGTTTTGAACATCTGCCGTACGGTGCTGCACTGCGTTCCGTCGCCGTGACAAATACCGCAACGATCTTCCTGCGCACTTGTCTCGATGCCCCAATCGCACGAAACGCTCTGGAAATTAAAACGGATTGTACATAGATTGAAATGAGGACAAACACACAACGATAAACGGTCCGTATCAGCAGGCTGACATCATTCAAACTGTCAGCTAATCAAGCGTTTATAACTTTTGAACTATTATAGATTCTAAATAAGAAAACACAATTGAAAGGTTCTTTTTAACACGGGGCACTTTGGATGAACATTAATTGTTCATTTAACTACAACAGTTACGTGGAATCGTAGAAAATGTATTGGTTAAAGCCAGCGTGCTTCATATTTTGACCCTTGATTGATGGCTCAATATCAACACTTGCATGGGTTCTGCGTTCTCGTCCGGTAGTCAAGGAATGTATTGTTGACTGATAGTACACTTGTTTATGAGTCTTTTAAAAAATTTATATATCATGAAAGATCGCTATTTTTTTCCAGTTTTACTATAACTGGCTTATATAAAGGACAATTATTATGATTGTAATGGCCGAAACATATCTGGACTAATAGTTTCATCGTTATCAAAGTTACCGTTTGAAGGGACCTTCTTCAGAGGATCGGCGCGATAAGTGGGTAGGTGCTTGCATTTTCAATGCTATTATTATATTTCTCACCGTAGAACTTGGATTTTATTATAGAAATAAGCATCCCCAAGGCGTTTAATTTTATTTTTTGAGATCTCAGATAAAGCTAACTCATAGCTGAATTGCGGTGTCGGTCCTTTTAGATATAAAGCGACGTCACCAAAGCTATGTGTAAACTTAACTTGAAACAGTTTGACTTAAATACTTTTACATATTAGCAACGAAGTTTACCGGCAGCAAGTTTTCAAAAATCAAAAGAAGAAAATCAATCCTTGATAACTTGGACTATTAAAATTAACTACATTACAAAAGCTAGTAATATCTTTGTCTGAAGACTTAAGTTCGACTCTGTGGGCAGCTATAGTATCGTGAAGGAGGGGCCAGGTCATGGCGTAAAAGACAAGGCTACCTAAATATATATGAAAAAGCCTGATGCTAGAGCAGCTCCTCGGGCAGCTAAAGTAGAGAGCAGTTTTTCAAAAATAGCTCGTTAATAATTTTTTTTTAAAATGTGTAGTATAGATGTGACTGAATTGGAAAATTGTGCTCATTTAGTAACCGAAAATTAGCCCTACACATCTGATAAGTTACGTGCCTACTCAAAACGCTCTGACAATTCGAGCGCACAACGTGGTAAATCAGATAGACTAACAGCAATTGAAACAAAAGTTACCAAGATATGCTGAAAGTTTGGCTATTCAGATCTACGCTACATACGCGGCTCTCAGTCCCACGAAGCGTAGCAGATTTTCTAATATAGTTAAGCACCTTACAAATTAGCTTTGCCCTCGGGCTTTGCTCACTACCCACCAGTGCATTCTCGGAACTTGCCTATGGCTATATTGATGCTGATTTTAAAATAGAGTCTACTCAGCAGCAGCTATCTTGTGTCCTGCGGGACCGGACCATAAGACACATATTGTCTAGTTACGTTGTGGGAAAACTTGTGAATCTATTTCACTCACGGAAAGCGACTACAAGACCAGACCCTGTCGGGAGTTAAATTTACGTTTCGCCCTGCGCAAGCATATCGATATATACTTGAAAATCCCTTACAAATTTCGGAGTGCTTAATTAAAAAAATATATTTAGTAAGCTAATTGACTTTCAGCGGAAGCAGGGTCCTAATGTAGTGGGTTGTCCTGCGCGGAAGAAAACAATATCATACTATGCACAATACCGCGGACCGTAACTGTACCATCAAGTATCTTCAAATTATAACATGTTACCTAGGAAAACACTGAACCGACTTAATCAAACGAAAAAGTCAGTAAGATTCTCTGCTTTAAGTAACTCTACTTTAGTGAAGCATGCTCGCGCTCGCCAGCGTATCTAATGCTCCAGCATTACATAGATGGATATTAGGTTTTACTCACGTATACATCCCATATCAAACACTTTAATAGCACCCCTGTTTGACTGTGCTAAGTCTACAATTAACAAATATCGCATCACATAGATTATTAAAAAATGCACATTAATTTTATTATTAAAATTATATATATTAAAAATATATATATTGAAAAAAAGAAACACTTCAGTGTTCAAACAACGGCTCACAAGAAATATAGATACTGCACCCTTATCTGACACAACTATTATTAGCGGATCATATAAATAAAAGCGATTCTTTTATGAGCCTAAAGCTATCGTGTAATAGAATCAAAGTTATTGACAGCTCTGTGATTTTTAATCATGTTCCCAACGTACACAAGATACTGAGTATTATTTCCTCCCTCAAAACTTTATCACCGATCCCGCTATTTTTGGGTTTTAAACAGCGGATATGCCGGTTTGAGTCCAGTAATGGTGTAATCTCTGTTATAATAACAATAATGTGTGCAGTATATTAGGACCTCGATAAACGATTGAGCTTGGTACTGCTGTCGTCGTCATGTATATCTCTGTCCTCCCCTTACCCCGTTTTCCCTTGTGCCGAAGCACCTTATTAGTATTTCGTAGTACTATAATATATCAGCCATTAGCATTACCCCCTGTAAACAGTTTTTTTCTTCACCTAGCCAGTACCTTATGCGGCTTCAGTTTCCCTATTTTTCCGCACTAACAACTTAAGTCAGCCGTCGTGTTAGTCTAGTGAAATCTCTACATTCGAGCCGTAGAGAGCTGCGAAGGCGTCGTATGTGTCAAGCAAAACAGGCCTTTACAAGCATGTACGCTTAACTCTTCTGAACCCCGCTGCCAATCTTCAACCGTTTTGCTCGAGACTTCTCCCCTTTCCCTGCCGACCGATGACGCCCGACCCAACCCAGCGCTTCATTCAATCCCTGATTCTGAACATAGGTAATATTCTAATACATGTTCAGTTTAATAGTTCAGTATCGCCACGCAGCATCTCGATGAAATCGGCATGAATCGACACTAGCCCCTCTGAAGCCGCTGTGGGATCGTATTGTATAGCTTGGAACGCTACCCGCAATATTTTCTATTCCCCCGAACAACCTTTTCCTATTTAACCTGAGAACTTTTCCTATTTCAATTTCTAGACGACATCATTTTTTGTTAACCCCAATTGGCGCACTCGTCCATGCTGTTTTTGGTCTTTGACCTAAGCATATGTGCATATGTGTTGTTTTTTCAGTGACTACGGTCAAACAACTGGAGTCGAGGTTTAAATTTGAGACAGAATAAAAACAGAAGAGACACGAAGCGTGTGTGAAAGCTTAGGCTACGGCAGGATACTCTAGAGAAGAGAGGTAACAAACAGCAGCCGCACATTCCCGCTTTAGCGGGAATGTGCGGCCTGCACAGCCTGCGTGAAAATGTTTCTTCGGCAACAAAGGTTTGAACAGAATTTTTGCAGAGTCAGTAAATGCCCTCACCAGCTAGCTGACTAAAAAGCTGAATCTGCTCCATGCATTACTACTGTAGGACCGGAGCAAGAAGCAAAAAAGGAAGAGTAGAGAAACGAGGAGGGCAGGTGGGCGCAGGAATATGGAAGTTCAGAGGAAATTAAGGTGGCGCCAACAAGTTCTTGCCAAAAAACAATGAACGCAATCTGATGGAAGGTGTTTTTATCATCGTTGCTACTCTCACTGTGGTAACTACCAGGATCCGGTGTATAGGAAGACGGCGCGATGCGAAAAAATATTATTTTATGGAATTATTCGGGAGAGCTTTGGATATGTGACGCTTCTTTTAGGTGACTCTAGCCACCGACAGAGCAGAGACAAAGCACAGGAAAGGAAATAAACAGCTGGGAGACACGCTGAATCAAGCCTTGCGTGCTAAAACGCGTGCAACAAAGGAGGAATACACATGATCCAAAACGGCACTGAGGGTCCCTGCTTCAACCCTGCAGAAGCGGTATATATTATCCATGTATATAAAACAACAGGGGGGTAGCAGTATCTGTATAAAATATGGGACCACCTTTTCGTTAACTGTCAAATCAGGGCACATTTCGACAATGGTGCCACGATAGCAATGTCAGAATGTTTTTCTGCTCGTGAAACAGTAGATACTGTCATCATGTAGTCGTCTGAGTGTATTTAAGAATTCAATGTGAGCCGCTTAAAAAAGCAGTGTGACGTAAATCATAAGGGTTATATTCGGCTTGGTATAAGAATACGTTACAGCGATTTAGGTTGGTACACAAATAGAAACTTTCACATGATCAGTGAGACTAGCGAAATTATATCAGAGGCAACTGTGGAAAGCCCAACAAAGAGGATGCTAGATATGTTTCCTCTAGATTGTGTCCTTTTACGAGAAGTTTACGCCTTTTGCCGTGCATTAGGCTTGACTTAGTATAAAGCTTTGGTGCTATTTTCTATAAGCCTCAAGCATTTCTCCTCTGGGAATGACGATTTATCACAGCATGTATTATGCACGCTTCTGCGTAAACGCCCTGACTTCTTGATTTACCTAATAAATTAGTACATGACGATAGAGCGTCTCTACTCTCTGTCTGGTTGCGCTGTAAGGTAGTTCGGATACGAAGGACCGACTGTGCTTTTTGTCCATTCTGCGTTAGGACAGTAAACAGCGAAGTGCTAAAAGCCCTATGATTGAAAAAAGTAAAAGTCTTCGTATCTAGAGAGTGCAGGACTAAGAGATTATTAGATTGACTTCAGCAGGAGAGAAGAGAAGTCGGAGCCGTAATCATCTATTGACATCCTTATTCAAAGAGCTTCGGAGCTACATCAGACTGTTTTGATAGTTTCTTTTGATGTGTCGGCAGCGTACTGTTCAGTGAGACGGAGAGAGTTAATACCAAAACTTACGGAAATAACTTTCCAAGGCATCGGACTAGGGAAGCTTCCGTATCGCTTTCGTTTAAGAGAATCTGCGTATCTATCTAGATAGGTTTCACTGGACACAAATAAATCAAACAGCTTAAACAAAACTCTCCTGTCTGGAGATTCTACTCTATACCAATAGCTTGCTTGTATATGTTGAGACGGAAAAGTTAAAGGAGCAAAAATTATTCCTTGTCACAACTTTACTTTTTACGTACCTGATATGGCTTGCTATTGGAAACCAAAAGTTGCCAGATGTCACTCTTCTATGAAGCTGGTCTTACTACTAGCCACAAGTGGCCCTATGGCTAGTGATATTGCGCTATTGGGAAAACGGTTAGCAACGCTCACTGCAAAAGGCATGTAAGGGAATCATGGTGGTTATAAGGCAAATTAAACCACAATCTAAATTGCACTTAGGCCTTGTATATCCCACATATTTCCAACTCGGCGAAAATCTCAATAAATATAAGCTTTGAGATTCTCCCTGCCTGAATATTGCCATCCTAATAGCTTGCGCTTCGCATTTTTTTTATACTACTATAATTAAGCGATAGGTAGACACGTTAAACAATATCGAGTCACTTTTAATTTGAAATTTCACCAAAAGCAAGACTGGTCAAGCACTGGAAAAATAGCTGAGACAAACATGCCTAAAAGCCAATAGATCTCCTTAAAAGATTGAGGCCAGTATAGAGAGCCTTGTTCCAGTAGTTTCTCCTATGTCTGTAGTGACGTAATATTTTCCACGATCCACCTGACGGAAAAAAGCCCCCATGAACGAATGAAAGAAAATAGAGACTTGGTCGATCAAACTTTGGGCTCTTTAGTCATCTTTTCTCTCAGAAATTTTGAAGGGTGCTTCTCAAAAAAGATCTGTCACGATTTTTAGTTATCAGAGAAAACGAAACGTTTTAGAGGATGTTCTCCTTAGTCCTTGTCGTGCTATTAACTGAATTTTCGTTTTCAAATGTGCTTTTGTTTCGTTCTCCATAGCTCCACAGTTCCGCTGCTTCGGCTAATCTTAGGTCGAGTCACAGCAACGATAGCAACAGTGCCTGCAACAGTTCTAGTAATAGTAAGCGCGTCACATATCTACTTTATTTTCTGTGTTCTAATGCAAGGTGGAAACAACCATCTCTACAAGTAACACATTGCCCAGGTGCCTTTAAAGCTTCCTCATGCATTCTCTAGGCAAACCAAATCTGCTTAATGCGGCGTAATCCCTCCAACTGTATAAAGCCGTGTGTTCCCATTACAGCATGAGGACGAACGACGACTAGAGGCCTCTCTGTGCCCTGGGCATCGGCCGGCATTGGTCCTCCAATCCTAACACTATAATGTATATAGCACAGCTCAGTCGCAAGAAACCTCTTCACGCTTTCGAAAACAGCCGAGCTGACATTCAGACTAGGTCAGAAAGTTGGACAGAAAGGGGTAAGTGATTTACAAGTGTTCTAGATGACAACTTCCCTTATACAGAAGCAGGGTTTAGATAGGCTGAATAAAGACTCCGTACCAGACCAGGTTTCCGTTATAGCAACACTGCATCTATTCCACTCGTGAAAGGTAGAGAAACAATTATATACTGCACTGAGACCGGCGATACTTCGCTGTAATATACAAGAGTGCCATGCTACTATATATAAGAGCAACAGAAAATGTCGAATAGTATCGGTTGGATGCTACGTACCCTGCAACGGCCGTTTATGCACACGTCCCTGGATCCTGGTAGGCAAGGTGTCCCATCAATTACAGTGTCCCTTAGCATGACCGAGAAAAATTTGCCGTCAGGCTTGCAGTGCAGTTGACACGGTGCAGCCGGAATCGATACTGGGGACCAATTAAATAGCTCACCCTAAAATATAAAAACGAAATTTTATTATACTTCTAACGTAGTCGGTTAATGAAAATACGCCGACGCTAGCCTTCTACCTATCTGCTCGTTCCAAGTATAACACACGGAAGATATTTACCTATTGTTGTTTTTCTTATGGACATTGCCAAAGATTTTTGAGCAGGTTTTCGGCATGGTTATCAATAGGGGGTAACTGATTTACTTTCGACGCACTTTTTCCTAAACTTCTTCTAAACTTCTAAAAAACTTTGACTTAAACTCAGATTAGTTAAGTGCTAGATTCAAATTTATTCCTTAAGTAATACCATGACATTTAACTAATGAACACATAATAATCAAAGGGTCGTTTTGACTTGTTTGTATAAACACTCTCAAATAAGAGAACCTATTCAGATTCACCGTTTGTAATTGTTATTCCTACTAGGGCTTCATTGTAATTCTATTTATATGATTAATCGATAGTCATTTGACGTGGCAGTGATAGGAATCAAAAGAGTGTAGTAAAAAGCGCGGTCCGGTAAAAATAAAAGTGAAAAACAAACAAAAATTTAATTTTTTGTTTGTTTACGGGTAGTGTGAGCGAAAGAGAGACAGAAATACAAAGGTTATTTTTGTTGTGCGTTTGACCCTTTTAGAGATAAAAATATTAGTAAAAAAACAGATAGAAACGGTTTGTCTAAATTTCTAGGGGCCTCTTGGTATTTGTTTGCTGTTAGTGCTAACGTTCCTACTACCAGCTTTTATGTCATCCTTAGATCGTACGAAATAATTTGGGGAAGTTAATTGGAAGGACCTTGACGCCATCGTCGAAATTCAAAATCTAGAATAGTTGACTCACTATAACGAATACGATATCCGCTACAGAGTAGTACAAGTACTGAGGTAGGCAGTCCACTGAAGTGCTGAAGTGATGTTCCAGTCTCTTAATTATTACTATTGTTGTTATTATAATTAAGTTAGTGTTTTTCAAAGTGTTCGCTTCTCTCTAGCAATCTACTTGTTCTAGCACGCAGAAAGCGAGACCGTGTGGCTCGACGTTCCGAACAACTGGTTACACATTGAGGCAGCGATTTGAAGAAGATTCTTCATAAACAACGACAAGGTGAAAAGCGTCTGATCCTATAAATTTTTCCTTGTTAGATGAAACTCTCTGCATTATTGTACTCAATCTGGTAGACTCTTCCCTGCTTCACGATTCTCGGGACCGTTCGACTCTGATCACGACTCAAGTGGATCAGTTGCTTCCAACCAAAAAGGCGAACTATTTTCCCAATGGTAAAGAGTGAAATTTAAATTTATCCATAATCCAAAATTCGGTTGCCATATTACCGTAAAGCTTGTCACTTTCCGTGTTGAGAAAGTTACAAGATGTATGTATGTATGTATGTTCAAATTTTGATTGAATACGACAGGAGTTATGCGAACGCTGTACAACGCGGATTTTAAATGAGTACCATCAAACTTTCAACTTTTTGTAGATTTACATAAGCAGAAAATTTAGCGCAACTCGTGTTCCCGATCCGTTGTCTGGTCAATTTTGAATGGGTTGGGTTATACAGGGAAACTAAGCGTTTTTCTTCCCATTGCATCAATCCTATATACCAATAAATGAAAACCAAATTCATCAACTGCTTTTCTATTGCAGATTCGCTTGTTCCTAAGCTACACGTCAAAGGCACACTGAAAACCTTTACAAAAGTCACTACATTAAGTTATATTACATTATAACCTAGGGGGTGAAATGGGGCATTGCATTTCGATCATGTGTAAAACTAGATGGCGTTCGTGCTAATTTTGTATAGAACTGGGTAGCCACAGGTGGCAACTCAGCTTCCTAGAAATGCGTATGTGCATATATATACATCAAGTTAATTGAAAACATCGTATTTTTGCATTCGTTATGTTACATGTCGTTGCATACCGTGGCACATGTCGTTACTTTTAAGTTAAACTTTATCGGCAATTTACATAACTCCTTTTGCCACAGTCACGTATAATGACAAAAGTTTTTGTTGAGGTTGGGTTGATTTTGGAGGACACCGGCACTATTCCTCTTGGCTGCTCGAACAAAAGAAAGCTCGTTGATGTTGGCCATTCAAAATATGGTTTCACACTGCGCAGGGGGCCCTGATGTGGACTTTGCCAAACAAACCATAATTTTTGATTTGGCTAACCTAGCCATACATTATTACAGAACAACGTATCGCCTTCTCTAACCAGCAAATCTGAGCGCGTAATCCCCTTATATCGACACATATACTTCGATCAAATTATCTAAGCCATGTATAATTGTCCGTAACTACCGTACAATTTAAATTGCTCGCTAGTGTTACGTTTTTCTAATGTTCGTCGCATGATGCATACGTGAGAATATTTTAATCATTAAACTAGTACGAAATTTCAGCGAAGAAGAACGTTCCTTTGACGTAACTTCAACTGCTATGCAGTCGGATCAAAACAACTCACTTTGTAAGGTAGATTATTAAAGCTGGCGCACTGTTCCGCCCGGAAACTCGGTGTTCCCTCTGGGCATTCTTCAGTGTTGCACATTCGATACCTTTTACGTTCACCGATGCAATATCGACCTCCGTGTGCTGGTCTGAAATACAATGAAAAACAAACACTGACATATCGTTTACGTTGAAGGACCGCGTAGACTCCAACATTCACTTATCATAATATGGATGCTAAAAAAAAAAAAAAGTCTATATTCCTTAACCGGTGATCTTTAGATAGCGAATTAAACGTTTGTTTACAGACCCAGGTGTCTCTTCAACATCGACCCAATTTCGTTTTCACTACAGCGTACAGTTTTACTCTGACCCGGTGGTAAAGCGACAGTGAACCGCTGCCTAACAGAACAATTACAAAATTGTTTGGGTTGTGTCGCTGCTAATCTCGTCTCGATTGACGCGGTAATTTTAAAACGGATTCCGTATAATTAAAACCAATCACATAAATCTTTGTGTGTTTTTCCGCAAACTTTTGCTGGTCGACACAAATCTACACTCGCACATGTTCAATAATTTGAGTATGTATGCATATATGTAGAACTGTTTTCTTTTTTTTGCCGATACATGAATTAATCTACTACAAACCAATTGTTACATATCGTTTGAAATCAACAATTCATTGATTCACAAACGTCCTTTTACTGAAGTATTTTTATTGAAAGATTTAGAATATTTAAGTACAGGTAGATATTTTCTAAAAATCATACTTTCTTAAGAAATTGTAAAAATAAAATTTTTCTCCGTGTAATATTGTTTTCAAACAGAAAATTCAAATTAATAATTTTAATTGATAATGTTGTAAAAATTGTGAGTTGGGCATTTAAGGTCAGCTGGAAGAACAACCCATTAAAATAACTAATTCTTTTACAACGGAAAAAGGTAAAACTAATGTCTTCTTTTCATAAAAATCAGTTTGACTTTGAAGTAATACGGTTAACAAGGTAATGTTCTGTTGCCATTATGTCTTTCTTCTATTCAGCACATACTAGTGGCCGGCTTACAGGTAGCAGCAGAAGAGCTCATCGTTGCTAGTTACCGTATTTCTCGCGTCGTCTTTCGTCCAGTGGCGGGAGCAGCATGATATGGTGCTTCAAGTGGCTGTTCTCATGCAATTTTGCCTTTTTCTACAAGGTCATCTATGACGCTTATATTTATTTTACGCTATGATCAATATCATCTCCGGATGTCGCCTGAGTTCGACAATTGGAGACTAGTTTGCTTTCCGTTTAGTGTCATAAACGCTGTTTAGGAGCAGGCATTTCCTGGATGCGATTTATTACCTTTACATGAATATCGTTTCTATACGCTAAGTACTAAAAGATTAACTTCTATCGAATTACGATAGAAGGAAATGATGTTTAGGGGAAACAAGTTTAAGTGATACACACCCAGCTGCTTTCGAAATAGGCATTACACTTTTCCACCGTTTGATTATAGCCGTCGTCAAAGCTTGTTTGTAACATGGGCTACTAAACAACCAAAAACAACACAAAAGAGTCCTAGAGGGCTTTTCCAGACCCTCGTTTCGCGCAAGCAGCTGCGGGAGTAAAGGGTCCTTGGAGCACCATAAGCTTCCGTCGCCTAAACACAATTATGGCACACAGCCTCTATTGCTTCTACCACCAACTACCACCTTCACAACCTCTATATAAGCCGGCCGCTAGTAGCTTTTGCCTCAGCGGCAATGAGTGTTTCACCGTTTCCCGTATGTTGCTATAAACTTGCTTCCGGCCGGGGAGCGGAGGCATTTCTTGATGTCGTTGTTTGTTCCTAGCAGCTCCGCCACCATGGGTCCTGCCCGCCTTCTGGCAAAGGCAACACAAACCGTTATACGTGAGGCCTACTCGGCAGCACAGAAGGCATCGTGTGGCTTCAGGATCCGATATAAAAGAACTGTCTGATTCTCCGCTACGATTTCACCATCCAGATCTTTGGTTAGCCGCCACTTCCTTTCCCAAAAAAAGGCTCCTTTACAACCGATTGTTGAGGTAAGCCATAGAGCCGTCGGTAGGTTCGAGAAGCCGTGACCCAAGAAGCGTCGACGCCAAATGGCTACATGACAGGCCGGCTACTTCCGTCGTTTGAAGCGGTACAACCCTTGCGAAGAGGAGGAAAGACGAACTGGTTGAAGGAGTAAAGGGTAGGTGGGACAAAATGGGACAGTGTAAACGATGAAAAGAGGGTAAAACGGGGTCGGTTTCTAACATGATTGTACGGCAAGAGACTATAAAACAACAGGCGTCTGAACAAGCAAGGACACCCTCACCGGACTCCTCGAACTGGGCTTCTTTTTCATCGCGCGCAGCGGCACTTGTGCCGTGGCTTTGCTCCACAATAATCCTACGCGTCGAAAGGCAACTTTTGCATTTGTGATACTCAATCTAACACTGCGGCGACCATAGTGTCGGTGATGCAACGCAATGTGAAGTGGCATAAAAAAGCATATGTTAGACTAGAAAATTCTCGTTATCTTTATCACTTCAGAGATTTCGAAAAATAAAAGAAGGACAAGCGTAACAATTTTTAGCGCTTTGTAAGATGAAGCACGTTTAAAGCACAAGTACGAGAAAGAGCTGAAATTAGTCCTTGCACATGTATATTACAACACAAACATAATCTTTGTGCGTGTGCGCGTGTTCTTCGATTGTCAGGAGAGGAAACTGCGGGCGCCCATAAGAGTTCTTTATTCGCGAAGCTGAACATGACTAGTCACTTTAAAGCTTGGCCTGCACATATGCAATGGTCGTGCGAGCGTTTTCGTAATCGTCACAAAGAATCTGGCTTTGAGGATCATTCAAATTAAGAGAGGCGCTATGCTATGTGCAGACATATCATACTAGAGTCTCTGTTCAGAGCTTAATAGGTAAACGTTCAGTTGTCGACTATACATGCCCTTGTTTCATATAACAGAAAACAAAACATTTTACTGCAGAAAGCAGAACAAAAAATCGCTTTCTGGTCCGCGGTCGGTCATGGCAAGTAACATATTCCGCATATGCTTCTAAACGTAAATCTTAAGCATATCTACTATAGTTTGACCCCATTCATACTTACGCTGGATTGTCGCAATGGCGCTCGGCGTGTATAACTCCACCTCCGCACGTTCTAGAGCATTCTCCCCAGGCGCTCCACGAACCCCATTCACCGTCTATAGCCTCTGGCCGATCGCCCATTTCGGTGCAGTTCCCTAGATAACACCACTGCCAAAAAATTGACACTTGCTATTATCTAACATTATGATAATAGTAATAATACACTAGTAGCAAAGCGTTAATTTAGCAAATTAAATAGAACCGCCTTCTTTATCATATGATATGCAAGTGTATACCCCGTTAGAATCTGCCTTATTTCAAGCGTTACCGCCACTTCACAGGATTCTTTGCGTGTGCTATGCGGACCTGTAAATGTCGTTCCCCCAGTGTATTAAGCTATTGCAATTTGAAATTTAGCTGATATATTTCTCAAAGCGGCTAAATGTGATGTCACGGCAGTCAGCAGGAGGTTACAGTGCAGGGAACTAGTATATGCAGTTACAATAAGGATACACTCAGGAGCAGATGAATTCACCTAGAAAATCCGGAACACTTGGGAGCCTTAACGGAATGAAACGGATCTTCGAACCGGTTACTGGTAAATACAGACTAATGTCGCGGATATATATCTCGGTTTTCTAAAAGACTATACAGGATAACATACTCAAGCAGGCAACATTTGTACAATAAAAATATCCCCATCCTGCTCGGGAAGAAGCAGGATTTTAAGCTACATGAGACCTTTCTAGAGGTTGTTGCTGTGCGTTCCACCTTTCTGCAGCGTAATATTATGCTATATTCCAGCTCATCCCATACAGTTTCCTCATTGAGCTAAGTTCTTTACCCCTACAGCTGTCTCAGAAGTTCGGATAAGGTGGTGAGCCACACAGAATTAAGGGCGGTCATTTGAAGAGCACTGCGCGGGACAGAAATGCCCTCTACACTAGCGGTTTGACACCAGCTGACGAAACGCGGTTCTATGGTATAACTATGGGTTTAAAACAAATACTTATTGGTGCATATTTAAATAACTCCCACGTTCATTACAATGCTTCAACTAGACGATTGGTAGCGGACCAGTCGGATCCTGAAGCGATGCGATCATACGCCGATCTCTGTTAAGTCCAATTGTAATGGAAATCAAGGAACTTAACTAATAAAGAATCGGAAAAACGCCCTAAGGAACGTTCAAAAATTAACGACTTTTGATACAAATTATAACCAGAAGAGGAAATACTTAAACTACCCACAGCCTGCGGCAGAACGTTGAGCATAATAGTGATATAACATATTCAACGTTGTAACGTATTTATACATGGACGTAAATGGATACTAACGACGAAATACTCAAAGGTAAAGGAAACGTTGTCATAATTTTAGCTAAAAGTTAAGAAATACTATTAAGTTTGTTCCCTAAAAACTGATAAACTCTTCGTAGATTAAACAATATAGCACTACTGTGAATCCTGACAAATATTCGCGAATTATTACAACTAAATTATAGGTACAGTAAATTAAGGATTCTACATACATGGAGATTGACGACAACAAAAAACGATCACAAATATATAGTATTGGCAGTTTGTTTATAGGATTTGTCCTCAGGATAAGGAGCCGTCTAGACCTCAATTTTAGGAGTGATAGCTTTAATTTCTACTCTTACAATAGAACCTTGTTAATATACTTGTACATTTTTTTTTAACATTTCCTCCATTGTGTGTAAGGGTGTGTCGAGGTTAAGTGCCAAGCGACGTAATACGTTATACCTGGCTACATAACGCAAAAAGTGAAGACAATTAATAATGGCGACGTCTTAGCATGATCAGTTGGTAACCCGTGCGGATTGCGTCCAAAGTTTACTCAAGTTTATGAATTAACTCCTATGAAGTTAAGTCTTACGCTTATTGCCAACGCCAGAGTGAATTGACTTTGAAAGTTTACAATTTAAAGCATAAAGAAACAGATAACTTGAAGTTCAAGCGATTTTACCAAACAGCTGGAATTTGTCCTCTATGAATAGGTGAATGTGTTTATATTTTCGTATTTATCACCTTTTTTTTTCTCAGCTCCATAAATTAGCTATTATGCTAAAAAGCTTTCAGCGGTTTATATGCAAACGAAGCTATGAATAGGAAACAGTCTCGTGAAACTTACCTAGGCCATATAGCACATTTTATCTAAGGATTATCTCTTTCACGAACACACAACGTTTTCAAATGAATGACGCAATCGGCCATTACGTGCCATACTCCCCGAACAGCATTACTTATTTAGCTGCATTTTTTAAAAATGAACCGCTTTCGCTAAACCTGCCTTCCTAACAAGATTGTCCTACTGACTTTTATAATCCCCCTATACGGTACGGTACATCCATTGGTGGTGCTTGTGTGTGCAGGACACTGAGCACCCTATCACAACTTAAATCCACTGCAGACGCATCTCTAAACCTTTTTGCTGTGTATCCAATACCGGATAGAGTCGAGTGGCATTTTGGCTAGCTCTACGAGCTAACCAAAAAATCACTTCAGCCATATAATTTCGCGGCCTTTATTCGGGAAGCGATTACTAATAATATTACGAGCATACGTTTTTTGGTGCATGTCCTATTAGACCTTACAACATTACCTACACCAGATCGATTGGTTCGATGATTTCTTCCAATAAAACAGAATTGAAATCTTCATGCGATCTTGTATTACGACAATTTCTATCAAAATACGATCAACGAACTTACGTTGTGAGGCAATTGCTTTTCTAGCCGTATTTAGTTACCTTGTTCTTGTCACATACGGTTCCTTCGGCGGCGGGCTCCATTTTCGTTACGCATTTATTATTCAGCCGACACCAAAGGGTCTGACACACCTCCTGTAACGCAGGTAACATGAGGGCTTTAGATCACAGTGATAGTACAATCCTTAATCTACTGCGTGCTTTTGTTATAATCTGTAACAAAGTCCTTTCACTAGGGCATAGTTACAACGAATTCGACTTCGAAACAATCAGGGGCCAACATATTTGGCGTGTTCCCTTTAAAGTTGTTGTTAAAATTATATGTGTATATATATATATATAGCCTCTAGCGTCTGCTCGATCTTCACACACGACAACGCTATTTACTACGGATCAGGTGAGCTGCAATTAGCACTCGAACTCCATTTATTATGTGTAAACATCATCGACCTGGCAGCATCAATCAAAAATTCGAGACGCCGAAAAGCAAAAAGTCGAAATTGACCCGTGTGATGGGTTTTTGGCCCAAACGTGATCTGTTCGCAGACGCAACCAGCTTAACTGACGCAGTATGCACAGTAATATATTACTGTTCATTAAATCGTTATTCGCTTCATTAATTTTTCGTTCACACCCCCTTCCGCCCGTTTGGCGTGCAGTAACGGGATCGGGATCACGAAATTATGCAGGGCTAAATAATAGAGCCATGCCGTTACTCACGAAAATTAAACGAAAGAGGCTTCCGAAGTCCTCCGTCATGTCCAATGTGGGTGCAATGATAATGGCGATGATAGTAGGACGGTCATAATTTGTGCCGTTTACGTTATCTGACCACAGGATCAAAGTGAGCTGTATCGGCTGACTCACTTTCTCAGCTAATCTCGATGATAAGAGGCAAATCAAGACGATATTGTGAGCGGTCGTGGTGATGGGGCTCTCGAGAAGGGTCTGCGGAGGACAGTTTACCCAATTAGCTGCGTGCGTCAAAACAGGCTAACCCTGAATACTGCAAATTCAGTTTTGCCTTATAGTGTTATATACGAGTACCATTCCTAGCGATCAGATGGGGCTTGCACACTGTGTACAAAGTTAACAGATGAACGTATGCCGTCATATGCAGTTCACCGCACCATTGTTTTCCGTTCACTGGCAGGCAAGGTATGACAGTAACAGCAGGGAACTTGGTCGTTCTCACATATTTATTATATATGTAGATGAGCTCGAGTATGGAAAGCAGAGTGTGCTTGATAGAGCTCACACTGCTAGCTAGGTGAAGATATACCAGAACTAACTGTCGTTCTGTAAATTCCTATGAGATCTATTAAGTTTTATGTTCGATAAGTTACTCGATGTGTTCCCCTTTCCCCGCGCAGAAAGAACAGTGCCGGCATCAAGCGCTTAAATACGTATGCACATACATTTACATCGTATGTAAATAGCTCATTATTCCACTAGCCTGTATAGATTTCGTCCCTCGCTGGCTAAAATGTGCCATAATCGGCTTTAAACGTTCGAGTAGTTATCAACAGCAGAACGAGATCTAGAAAGAAACTTTTTGGAACAGGTCTTGGCAAGAAATTGCTAAAACAGAGCATGCTGCGTGTCCATGTAAATATTTGTCTTCAGGCCGATCACTCTACGCACGCTTGAGAGCTTTGAAAATTGCCTATACCTAATAGTCATTAAAATCAGATGTTCTAAGGGTAAGTTGTCGTGACGAATGGATTTAATGTAACGCCGCACTGTGTGCTGTACGGTCTTCGGCCGAAGTGCGTGCATAGGGCCAAGTTAGACAGAACGGACATTTTGTTTTTCGTTGATTATTTTTAGTTGCGGGCCAAATGACACATTTCAATCTGTATAGTTTGATTTTTCCAGTATATTGTTATCGAGCCATTATCTTTTATTACTGTGAAAACGCCCTCTCTACAGTATACGTGGGTGGTATGCTTAAGCTAGCTTCAGGTTTATCGATTTATTATGGGGCATTAGTTTACTTCAGCACGTATAAGCTAACTTGATACAATGCATCCTTCGATAAATCGAACCATCGCTTAAAATTGATGGACTTCTGAAAAAGTTGATCCTCAAGTATTCACTAGCCTAGCTTTATTTATGATATCGTATTATACAGTTATGACATAACACTAGATAACAGGATCTGTCAGATTTATCGATGCTTGAGCCTGTTTTTCATTAAAAGAGGTAGGTCAAATGTGTTTCCGCTATAGTTTGTCTGTAATAAACTCCGTTTAGATATCAAGCCCAAGTTATAGAGTATCTTCGTTATCTACTTCGGATCGTTTTTCCAACGCCATATTCCTGGCGATGCTATGTCCATGCTTGTACCCTTTGACTAGCCAGAGGTTCGAGTATGCTAAGGATAATCAGTGACAAACAACTTGGCGGAATGTGGGTTTGCCCAGAGAGGGTGATGCTTTCTCAATCACGCCAGCGAGCCATAGCATTGTACATGCTGCTGGTAGCTTCACTTAATTTGACCGATCGGACACGTACGGACATCAAGTGTATTCACATCTTAGGTAGAAGGTCGTAAGTTCCCAATTGTATGCTCGTTTATCACGGCATCAGCGAAGACGACAGTTTTTCCATCTCTGGCCTTCCGCCCGCACCTTAACTCAAGTTCCGAAATTGTCGAGGATTGAACATGCCATGAATTACCTTGCCAACTGCACGAGATTCAGTTATGTAAAGGGTAATAGGATAGAGGAATCGAACACAATTTAAAAATTGGAAAAAAAAATACAGCTCAACCAGAGGTCGGCAAATTGTTCTTAAAGCTATAATAGTTACCTCCGTTTTAATTTAGGTTAATGTAGGCGCAACACGTGGAGCGATAACAGTAACTAATGTGACCATATTATAAGTAAATATATGGAGTGGCATATTTTTTCGCCAAAGGAAGTGGGTGGAAAGGAGTGTGATTTTGACGATGAATCTAGTATGTACATAAAACAGTAGAATTAGCTTATTTTCTTATGAAGGGGATAGCGCACCTTAGGGAGGATCATTTCCTCATGGAACTAAGTGCCCGTTTGAAGCTATGGCTCTTGTTATGTTAAATATCTGGCGGCCGCTTCAAACTTAAGGAGTGGCTGAAAATTCAATGTGCGGGTACATGAAATCTATTTTGAGAAGCAATTTCATCTCGTAAGTGGGTGTAACTACTGAGCATTCGTACAGACTCGCCGTTCTATGGCTGTACTGAATACGATGGTACGGATTTAACCGCCAAAAATAGTTAATACACAGTAGAGCGCCTGGATACGAATACAATGTGGAGCTTTTTCGTTAGCTGGTTCATTGTACCCCCAACCGAGGCGTGTTTGGGGTAGCTAAACAATCCTCCACGCTTCTCGGATTGACGAAGTAACGTCTTTATTAATTTGTCATTTTTTATTTCGTGACTGATGATAGCCAACGATGCGATGTTGTCGCGATTTACGTGATTTGAGCGTAGATCGGATAGATGCGACAACTATCCTTAGCGGAATCTACTAACTATCCGCTTTTGGAGCTCAGCGATTGCCAATATCGTCGCGCAGATGAGAATCAACGGTGCAAAGAATGTTCCGACTGAAATATTTTACGCTGCTCTGTAAACCGCTACTCCCGTTTAGGCCTGTAGGATAGAACTACCAGCTTCGCGGTAGGCTTCGCTTTACCAATATTGAAATAACTGCATCGTTATCGATATCGTTATTGGGATGCCATCCGAATGCGTTGACGTCTACCTCGCCTAGAGTTGAAATCTACGAATTTGGGCTGTCCAATAGAGGTATAGTAGCAGCGCATATCGTGACTAGGTACTGAAGTAACGTTATAAAAATGAAGAATCGCAACTCTTTTTATGTGTGTCTCTTAGACAGGGCTGTACGCTTGGCCAATGTATAATATTTGTAGCTTAGTAGAATTCAAGAGCTAGCTGTCTATTGAATTTGCGCGTTTTAGCCTGTGTTACACACGAAAAAAACTGGGCTTAATCACATGTTCGTCCCATTAAAAATAAAGGGCCTCCGTGAATGCTTTTTCGTTAGTTTCCTTTCGGGTTCTCTCTCCCTCTCCCTCTCTCTCTCTCTCTCTCTCTCTCGCTTTCAAAAACACACACACACACACACACAAACATGCAATTAAGATCATTAGAAAAGCATGTTACGTAAAGCAAGCTCGTTTATGTTCGCTGACTACGACCGCATCTCGTACTCAGGTCATGCCTGTGTACATATGCATGTTGACAAACGCACTGATATGTCACGTACAACATAAGCAGCACTTCTGTAACGGCTGATGCTGTTTTTTGTGGCTATTACGAGAGATAAAGCGCCGCAGGAGTGTGGCTTTCTTATAGTGGAGAGGAGATTAACTAAAAATGATAGTTATCAGATCGAAATATTTTTGCTGTAATTAAATGAGGGAAAGTAAGGAAGTTTTCTCTTTCTATGTGAGCCGGAACTACCGATTTTGTTATTTCGAGTGTGGGGGCAGCATCCTAGGAAGCGCTTAATTGCCATGTCGTCTATTATTTCTTCAAGTTAACTCAAATCAAAATTACTTAAATCACCTATCACCATCTTGTTCCTTGCTAAGCAGATATACTAAACGGGCTTTTTGATGATTTTAACTTTGCATGTACAGCTCCCCATGTAACGTTATATCTAGAAAATAGAGATAATGCAAACTAAAATTTTCTCGTTAAGCTTTATAGTTTGTGCACACATCAAGGCCCTTGCTTTGTTTATTTTTGTCGTAGGCGTTCTTCACATTTTCAGTAGGTTTGTGTTTTAGTATCTTCTTTGATGCACCCCTTTTAAGTTCAATTTCAAATCTAACTATTCCAACGTAATGCACCAGCATCAAAACACACAGTGCGTTCATTCAAGGAAGATGCGTCTATCGTTTGATAAAACACTGACGTTGTGCCGATGTGATATTTTTTGATTTCTTTTATAATACACCTATCCCATAATTGATAGTTATAATAATAGTAGTGGTAAAAGGTTTCGGTACTTAGAAAATTAGCAAACTAGGTACATTGCAGCCTAGCACAAACGAGGACGATATGCTTACCTCGATTCCGTCGCAGTATTTGGCTTCCGATCCGTATTGTAGCCGACACTGATGATCAGCATCGTACATGGCTCCCGGTGGCAACACAGGGAAGGTAAAGTTGTGCGCCAATGGCTCGTCGTCTAGACAACGACCCCAGTCGCGGCTAAAAATCATTTGATGCTTTCCTTTAATATTTTATTATTGGCTAAATAATGCTGGTAATTGAAAAGTATTTTTTGTTCTTTTTCCAATTGGATATATACCCCAATAAGCATTTAGTATGCGTACTTGTATTTGTGTAAAAATTACTGTCCTAATCCTACCGGTGTTTTTCATAGGTAGCTGTACGTCTCGCTGTTTAAGTATGAGAAGCGATCTGACGCCTGGTTCATTCTTCTTACTACATATATATATTTATATGTAATTGTGAGTACTCCTTCCATACAAGTCCCGTTGGGACGTTACAACATTGCCGTTAAAGGAAATGCTGGACATTTTTTCAAGCTATTAATCATCTTTCTGTGTTACTACAAGGTGTTGCAACGTATACAAAGAGGCCTGTTGCACAAAATTAGCCTAAACTGAGTGGCCTATACCTGTGCTAAAGTAATTGCTTCGAATGCTTGACCTCCAATATTGCAAAGAGATGCGAGGTGTGCTAACGGATCGTTGGAGAAACGTTTTTACTGCAGGGCTAGACGGTTAGTCATCTACCTAACAAAGATACCCGGTGCTTACAATCGTCCCAGGGTAATAATCTGGTTTTGCACGCCATCGGTTCTCCTTGCTATAAAGCAACGTTCAAGAAGTACATATATATATATATATATAAGCGAATTTCTTCTTTGCAGCTTATTCGGAAACGCCACATATTAGGACGGGCTTAGGTCCTTTTACATGGATAACCCTAACCTCAGCTAAGCTTACTTCCCAGTCAATGTTCATTGCATATTCTTCCCTACATTTTAGCATTACATAGTAAAAGGTTTCAGAAAATGTACATAATTAAAAAATAAAAAAACGCTTTGTATACTTTTAGCCAATTTTTTCTATGCTTATGTGGTAAGTTTCTCCTGTTCTGTTCAAGGTTTCGAGAAAATGCACACATATATACTACACTTCAAAGCTTCACGGGCAACTCTGCAAATTTTTGCAAAAACTACTTGAGTCCTGTCTAAACCTGCCAGATGGAAGACTTCAGTTCAATTGATTCAGCCACTCGAAGCGTCTCTATGACGGCAGTATTCGAAACGCAGAACGGTGTCGTTTTAATAGGGAAATTTCACGGCAAGCAGATGTTTACGCTTATTGGTAGCACGGATGCTCAAATATTCTTCTAAGCATTTCAGATCTTCTGTTTCGACAAAAATAATGCATATATAGTAGGCTTTATCCTTTAATAGCATATGTAAAAACTACCCTCGGATGACACAACGTATTTTGTAGACGCGGAGTATAATAATTAATTAATTAGATAAAAAAAACACGGCCCTGCAGTTTGTGAGAAAGTATAAACATGACTCAGCTGTCTGCGTAAAACAATTCTGCAAAGTATCGCTCTGCAAATAAGTCAGTCGAAAGAAATTTATAGATCACGCGACGTCATTCCGTGGGAACGTAATCGATCACCGACATAGTGTTGCGATGAACATAACTAAAATCGAGTTTATCCATCTGGCAGAGCAGGCCGTTACGTTAGGTTCCTTCAGGCACCTACTAATTGACCGCGGACTAAATAATTTATCCAACAATTTTAATTATGTATCTTTACGATAATCGTTAAGATACCCATAAGGCACAACTTGGCCAATTTCTATACTCCCAAATCTAGCGAGCTATACGACGTAAGTGTTCACTTTTACGCAAACAAACTTACGCAACGGTCTTTAAGAATACACCAACGAATATCCGCATTTAGTTAATTTATTTTATTCGTACACTTAGACTTACATCACGCACAAGTTTTAGCTATATGCCCAGCTCAAAGCACGATAGGCTACTTTATCCTTACGCAAGCAAATCTATAACCTATGCTATATCTAGTTTCCATATTATACAATAATGTAGTTCACGTTTCGTAGTCCGACCGTTCACGCTGGTAAATAAGCAGTAATATGATTAGGGTACTGGGGTCTAGTAGATCAGCGTTAAGCTTCCCGTCAAGCAGATCAAATAATTTAATTCATTCTAATTTGCTTGTTATAGTCAGGGTGAAGGACCTCCTTGTCGTTTAGTTGTTTCAGCCAGGAAAACAACACATCACATCGCGCATACAGAACAACGAGCAAGATTAGGCCAATGAAGGTGAGCTAGATTTTGTACTTTGGTACACGCAAGCGGCCTGGAAAACGAGAGCCTATTAGGTTGAATCAGCAAAGCCTCGAACAGGTAGGAAACTACTGGCTGACCCATCCACTAATAACTTCTCTGAACCTGAACATACAGAAAAGCAAAGAAGACTGCTGTTTAGACGCGAATTTCTCGATTTAGATACAATGCATTACTAAGCCTTAAAAACGGACAACATGAATCGAGGTAGCATGCCTTCAAGTGGGGTAGCTATACTATTTATTATATAAGCACCTGTTCAGAACAAATTGGAGTTAGGCAATGGAGTTGTGAAGCAACTCAGCCATAACTCACGTAAGCTATGGATAAGCAAGACAGATAAAATCTTAGACTGTCATCTCTCTTATATATGGACATAGCTTTTTCTTTCTTTATTGTCTTCATCCCAGTCGTCCGGCTTCTGAACTTTTGACATAAGTAAACACTTCAGTCTTCGGCAAGACAATCTTATTTCTCCAATGTTGGCTCACTTTACATGGCCGATCGAACAAATACCTTTACACACCGCGATTTGCGCATTTCAAAGCTATTTTGTACGGTTATGCCGTTAGCCTGTTTTCGCCTCTTCTACTGATACCTTCCTGAAAACACGAGTCGGTGGTTCCATTCGGTCACTTTGCGCGGCTTTTTCTTTCTTTCTTTAGACCAGGTTTAAGTCCAAAATATTTATTTTGTCGTCTATGAAAAATTGGCCCATGTGTTATTGTCCATCCAGTAGAAAACACAACAGAGTGAGACGATGCTTTTTCAGCAACGAAGCTAAACGACCCGTGGCGTTAAGATCATCTAAGGTATGCTTTGTATCTAATTTCATTTTTTTGTAAAAATGTTTCCACTTGTATAATTCTATCAACAGGCCCTCTAAGGACACTGGGAGCGATGATCGCGGCAGTCAAAGTAGAAGTTCCGGCGGTGTGCCTCTATTAAGCATATTGTTCATAGCCTGTGCTTGCAAGGTCTGTATTTACTGAACTTTCTGTCGGTGGACCAATAGGTCAAAATAAGGAACCGCCTTCGTATTTTTGGGCTAACAGCATACCACTCAAAGGAAACATTAACGAAGGCCCCGACGCCGTTTTGCCGTTTGCAGATTGCAATTAGTACTCGCATGCTCATCCAATGGATAAACGTTAACTAACCGAAAAGTCGCCTTAGGTGATTCATCTAGCACTTACGTACCGTCTAATCATAACGGTACAGAGTAATATATGCGAACATATATGCAATAACAGCGGCAGGACGAATAAGCCCATGGGCTGGACACAGAATGCCGAGCGGTAGCATCGAAGAGAGGCAGGTTTGTATAAAGCAGTATCGACAAAAGACCCAGTCGTACGGGAACCGCGGACAGACAACAAGTAATCGTCGGTAAATTTAAGGATCGACATGTTGGCCGCCGCCGCCGCCGTCGATGGCTATGATGATCCTTGTACCAATATCAATACATTGGTACGTCGGCAAGGTCGATGGCTACTAATATTTGCTTAAGGAAAATGGCACGAGAAAACCATGTACTCTTCGGTGGCAGACAGCGGGAGGTAAACTATTTATTTGTAGTTGCAAACGTTGACATACGTAAATGTACCATTGCATGTGTATGCGTGTAGAGCCTTAGCGTTTGGCCTATGATAACGTAGATACAAGGGTGTCTCGTAGACGATTTGTGCTGTGACTGGCCCAAAGCTGATTTGCACATGGGCACACTCATAGATCTGTTTATTTTGTTTGTTTCAAAATGAAATAGGTTTGTAGCAAATGTCAAATACATACTCGAGGAAATTCGTGATCTCCTGACGAGAACAGTTCGACCAGACCAGCGGCGACGTATCTGAATTCAGATGTGGGGCCATAACATGTTGCCGTTCACCGAGCGGAGCCTGGCAGCCGTTGTGAGGCCCATCGTGCGACATTCCGAAGCTGGAAGTTGGCAACAAAAAACAAATGTATAAAAATTGTTTATTTAATCACACTTGTCATGTAGTATAGTCCGCATATAAAATCATTGTTAAGTGTGATGTATAGATGGCGGGGGTTAAAGTGATGACGAGCAAGGACGACGAAACCCACGATTATATTCACTAGACATATATTGGTTCTTAGTTGTTGGTGACATTTCACGCACTTCCATTAAGAGGGATCTAAGTTACATCTAACGTGGTAGACCTACTCCTGAGCTGATGATGTTGCCTGTATCTGCAATATATTGATAATCGCATTTGAAGCACAGAAAGCAACAATCTTCTATGGTCAGGACTAGTCAATAGAGGTAAATTAGTAATACAATTACAGTGTACAAGTATGAATGTCATCTATGCATAGCCACACGATATAGGAATAAAATGGAAGGTTAGGTAGAATACATATAGAATTCTTCTTCAGTCCTAGAACAACCTGAAACTGATAGGCTGTTGCTTCGTCCAATACGCCGTAAACACCGTAACAAAAAACGTCGACCCATGTTTTTTCAAACATCGTAGGCTCGGACGTAATAATAAGCAGATTCTTGCATATACTTAAATGTTTCGAGTTTTACATCCAGTACTTCAGCTGTTTGCTATTGCTTTACATGGCTCTTACGTGCATGATAACTTTCCTAGCATACGCACGATATATTGAATTGATTTTTTTTTTGTTTTGAAGAAACCTGGTCTACAAACAACATGACGTGCCCTAAATAACAGTGGTGTTAAAATTTGTGCCTTAAAAACGTTTTCCTTGACGAACCTATTCCTCCGGTCGGCTTTTTATAGCCGTCGCATCCTTCTTGGACAGCCTAAATTTTTCATACTAGGCAGTTCACACTGAAAGATCTGTGTATGCTAGGTTATGTCATATTTCGTACTAATTATATTAAGTGCGCACTGACTTATAAGATCTAGCTGTGCTAGCACCACAAGGCAATCTCACTCACTTCGCGTTCAAAATTTCTACTCTTCAGTGACCTGTGACTGAAATTCCAACCGCGTGGTGGATATAATCACTCATTATTTTAACATTCTAAGAAGCAAAGACAGAATAAATAATTTAATCCGTAATTTCATTCAGTAGGCCGTGAGGTACAATACGCGTTTACCGGACAATTAGAGAGAAAATCTTTCTCTTGCAAGTTAGGTGATGTCTCGGTCTTGTATTTTATTCTCCCATGGATTCCTTGCCCTCGAACAGAGGATAACAACCTACGCCCTGAATTACTTATGTCAAACGTTAAAGAAGAGAGTGTTTGAGAGAGAACTATGGCCACGGACGAACAGATCTTCCAATGTCTGGCATCCGTTACGCAATACATTGGCGACATCTTTTCGTATATTTAACTTGCAATGCGTTAGTAGTTTTCTTCCATCATGTGGCGTACCCTGATGTACATCTCAAAAATTTTAAGGCACATATGCTCGACCATACAATTGATGTATGAGGTAAGGTATTAGTGTAATTTTTTCTTGTGTGTGACGGCTGATCTTCCAGGATTTCGTCGCAGACGTAAGGCAGACTGAGGAATACGCCGAAGATTCAATGATGTCGGCGATTTCCAAACAAAGAAATATCTCTCACTAGCGTATCTGTAACTGCCATTCACTTTCTTTAGTTCCTAGCCTAAGGGGCTAACAGGCCGCCTCCAAAAATCTGCTTTTCTAATTAACGAATCGGGTCTAATAGAAACCATGAATCCGGGCATACTTGTGTTCCGAGACTCATTGAAGCCTCCTTCAAGCTGGCCAAAAAAATCCCTCGGACCTGATCTTAGAGAACGACAAAAATACACATTTATTAGAGATAGCTAACTAAATGTTTGCTTATTGCTTTGCCTTTACACGTCTAAGTGTAGTCAGCCTAGATTTACGCTTTCATAGAGGTATAAGCACACCGTTATTATCATGACACATTTATTAACGACAAAACAGACATCGCTAGTGAATCAGCTTCTTTATTTCTTTGTTCGAATCACATCGATGTTTCTCTTTTTCCTGCTCTCTTTTTCCTTTTTGCTGCTCATCCAAACAATTGTACGTATATTATTTGTGAAACGCCCGCATCTGTGTCACCCCAGTTTGCTGCTACCGTTGTTTTGGTAGCTGGCCGTCAGTATTAGATGCCTAGGTCGACTTATTTTTCCCTTTATTGCCTTCCAAGCCTATTCAGAACTTCTTCCATCGCTTATTTACTAGCAACGGGTGGGGGCCAACGGTCCTACTGTACGCACTCGTTCAGTCTCCGACCTGCTTGCCTCTTTCTGGAGGCAACACTTGCCCGTAAGAGTCAGTGTTCGCGAGCAGCTAAGGGATTCGCTATACGGTGCACGAATGGCACACATGGGATGAAGTCGGACTAGGGTCAACAATGGGGTTTGTAGAGGAAACTCGGTATCGGTCCGGCCTGCTTCACATTGACGCTCGGTTGGTTGCTTCTATGGCTACTGCCGTTGTTCTTATCAGCCGGAGACGTTATCTGTGTTTGGTGGTCATTGTTTGTGAGACTCAGAAAGCCCCGCTTGTGTCTTCGCTGAACGATGATAGCAGTAGTGGCTACATAGCCGCAGCGGCAAGACTAGAAGTCACAAGCAAGGCAGATAGCTAGGTTGAGACAGATATTGCCGATATGGGGATGGCTGGGTAGCTGTTGCCCCTCAGCATTTTCTCTCCGGCTCGTTTTGTTCCTTTTTTGCCGCCGGCTTCGCTTGTTGCCCATGCACAAACCCCGATTCCTTCCATCTGCTATTCGAAAAACAAGCGTTTAGAAAGGACGTAGATAGGGGTTGCTAAAAGTGGTCGTATAGACCACCGACAGTATCTCACGAATCACAGGCAAGGTGATTTACATCTATTTATTATTGTATTATAATAGAAGTATTGGCCGCTCGCCTGTCAACAGAAGCCGTACTAAATGGTGTGTGGCGTCAGAAGGGACTTTGATATTATCATTATGTGCAACCGTGTGTACTTCTTGTACGCTTCTATGCAATAGGTCGTCAAGACTCAACGCTGTACGTGCACAGGTCTTTTTTTGGGTTTCGACTTGACAAATATTACAGATATACATGCATACAATCGGTTAAGTAAAAAATTGCAGCTTTTTAGGCATGTATTTTTACTTGTAACTTTCAAAAGCAAAGAAAAAAATGCCTACATAAATAGCAATGACGCGAAATTAGGCCTATCAAAAAACGACGATTGTCAAAAGCGGTTTGACATTATGATGTCAGATTCTACAGCTTGCAACGCATCTCGCAATAATGACAGCGTACTCTAGAGCAAGATATCTGCATGACATTCAAAAGGCTTTTAGAATATTGCCTTCTACATACAAGTAAACTAAGATGCTCTAACTACTATTTTCCTTTACTATTCGCTCAGTATATTTACTATATTACTTTTACCCATTTAATGAACCCACCAACAAACACAAAGTACATTGTATCAGTCGAGGTCTATTTCCAAACCATACTTATAACCAAATATGTTACTATATGATATGGGGCCGGCCCACATTCACATAGAACATACCGAAACTCAGAGAGACATCGTCCATTTAGACCTACGTGGGGATCATCGTCTTTTCAAAGTCGACGTCGTTTGTGACTCAGCCGTATTCACTATTCTGTGGTGTATAACAACCCCTGCCTCTGGACGGGGCGTGCCCGCGGATACAGTGACTAATGCTAAATTATTTGCACAGTACTGGAAAGCAGCAAGCTCGACAAAAGACAAAAACGACGGAAGTAGTTCTAGCCGGCTAGAGCCAGAACTACTTCAGTTGTTGCTGTTCCAACGGGCGTCAGCGGTGCTTTCACAGCAACACCGTTTTTTTCGAACGATTCGCTTGTTAGACCCCAGGCTTTATTGCCTTCTAATAATAAACCTTTTTTTAATCATCTTACTTGACATCACTTCCCCTGGTAGTGTATGGGCCAGCTCGGTCTAGCCAGAATCCGGCATATAACCGCGAACCGTTTACGGTATGATGGTGATTCTGCAATGAAGCTAACAGCGATAGCCCAAACCGGTGGCAATGTCTGGCTTGTTGCTCGCCTTGTTTTAACCCCGCGCACAGTCTCCCCCGATGTCCACTTTAGCCTTGCGTTTTCTCTAACTCGGTAAAATATGGACCACGACACGACATCAGACCGCCGCTGAACATATTGTCGTCATTGTATTATGGCGACAGCACTCGCAGCAGCAGAAACAGCGGAAGCCTGCGGTGCCGATGTGTTCTGGCCGTGATGCTTGCAAGGATCACATGTGGACAGCGATGGTTGAGGAGCAAAGCAAAACGAACTATCGGCACTCGTCAACGAAGACCACCACCAAAGGCCTGCTCTATCGCAATGGGCTTCTTTTTAGCCCCCATAGTCGCTCCTGACGACAGAATGAAAGTATGGTTTATCCACCATTCGGACCCTCTATAAATACGTGTATTTAAAGACGTTTACGACACTGAAAGCTGCTAGCATAACTAGTGAATTGCTAGCGTTTTACTGTCTGAAGCCATCGAGATAAGATGACAGCCCGATTTTAATGTGATTTATAAACTCGCGCAGAAGTGAGCAGCGATACTAAGTGGAGCTACAAAATCAGTAGATTGTACAACTGGATAGCGTGATGCCAACGTGAAAGCCTTAGAACAGGATTGTTTCCGCCTCTTTGTTTGAGTTTGTATAAATTGATATGATTTTGTCAGTAAAATGATTGTTATTATTATTATTATTATTATTAGTGCAGTCAAGGCGTAAACATTCGTTTTGTTCAACTTAGATAACGAACTAAAATAAAATCTAAAGACGGTCGCAGATGACAAGTTTGCAAATAGCATTATGTTATGACCCTGCAACGGTCATTTGCAAGGTGACGGGGGCAATTATAAGCTATTTACAACATCGAACTAACTAATAAGAGCAGATTCCTCATGGTACCTAAGTCGCAATGCGTTTTTCACGATACAATGGTATTAACAAGTGAATGGGAAAGAGTTAGGGTGACACTTCTAGTACGTGTAGAGGCATTTGAAAACAAATAATAAAAAAAGACCCAATACAGCTTGTGGTAGGGGTGCATGGTGAACCCAGAACGGGCAGAGCTGTCCGTTTGAAATTAAATGTTAGATAAGGTTTCTTCCTTAATGTGCCAGCGATGTTGTTTCTCTGGCCGAGTACGCAAGCTTTACCCGGACCTTTCAGGCCACCTTCTTAGATTATAAATTCTCTAACTGGCAACCGGCAACATTAGGAGCGCAGCATCCACTTGGACGTGCTACGTTTGTCGACTTCGAAACCAATTCGTGCCCACGCTATTATTGTCCTAGAATATAGGACGTATGCTATTTATCAGTGTTATCATAACAAACGCATCAATACGTATCAGTCATTTTACAACATATTTTTAAACGTTCCCATTGATGTCGCCATTTGAATGGAAGTCCTTCAAAAATACAGAACCTACCACACCCTCTACAGGATTAATGGAAGTTAAAAATCATATGTGAATAGACGTGCTTATATTTTGCTCTTTTTTCAGCTAAAAATTGGCCTTGGGCGCTATATAACGTTCGGCTGTGAAGTCTCTTTGAACACCGCCACGAAGGCGTGTGCAGGCTCAGTCCCGCAGCCATACAATCTTCATTATTACGAATAGAGGAAAATCACAGACGTTCAAGTCGATCGTCCTCAACAGATTTACCTCATCTGGACTGTTGTAGCCCACAGCGATCGGTCGCGACAGTAACAACTGAATAACAAATGAGTCCGAGCGAAAAAAAAAAAAACGTCGGCGAAAGGAGCCTGTGTAGAAGCTTATACACATACGAGCACATTTAAGTCAGATGATTGGGTTACTGATTGACTATTTGACATCTTTTTTGCGAGTTCTTGTCGTCCCGGCTTTTGTGCGACGCGACAAGGTGACACTGTTTATATACGTACGAGTCTGTCTCATAGAGATTCTCTAACAATCTACAGAGCATGATATAGCCAGCAACGCCAGCCATTCCGTAGATGGTCAGTCGCTTTGAAATGATATGTTCAAAGGTGACCGGCTAAAATCGATCTCGTCGAGCGGTAAAACGAAAAAATCACAACATACATACATACATACATACATAAAAGCTTTAGTCCGTTTCATTGTCGTTTAGAAAAAGCTACATGCTACAGTCGTTCTGGTAAGTAAATGCCATAAATACACATGTAATTTAACGCTGTTTTCCTCTCGTTGGTATTATTAAATACCGAATCAGTGATGGCAATAAATTTTTATCTTCCAGCTATGTAAATGAAGACCACCAGCCTTTTGACGCGACTTGGTTAAATTAAACATTGACTGACAGAGAACAAAGCGCATCCTCTCGGAAATGTTTTGTACCTATTTATCACGTGAATGTTCACTGAACTTACTTGTGTCCCATTTCGTGAGCGATTGTGTAGGCTAAAGTTAGTCCAGAATCCTCGTTAACGTTACAACTTCTTTGGGGTTGGCACATCCCGGCGACTTCGGCAAGACCTAGAGTCGTACACGGCTGGGAACCCTTTGTACAGATGTTATTCCTATAACGTACAGTAAGAAAAAAAATAGGGAAATTAAGCAAGCTAACTAGGCATGGGCAAATGTTTAAGTTATAAATTTAATTTCCACCTGGCACTTACAGCATATGGGTTTGTATACTACGTACCGTTTGTTTATGTTCGTTCGGAATATACTTGCTATTGTGCTCTGTAACAATAAGCAAATAGGTAGCAAAATAACATTTATGATACAATGCGGTAAAGGTAGATCGGTTTTAGATTGCATCCGCCTATACAAACATATTTACGGAGAGAATTAAAAAGTTAGTGCCTACCCTGAATATATCATTTCTTACTGTCATATGGGTAACGAAGTAAACAAGCCTTATATGTTTTAATCGAACTTTCAGCCGCTTCATTAATTAAACTGCTATTAAAAACTATTGCATCTAGACACTACTAATAGCCTTTCCAGTCGTTTCAGATACCTCAATGATCTTTTCACGAGGTACGATTTCTTCCCCTCGCTTTCTGAAAAAAACTAAACACGTCCGACTGATGCCATTTGGCTCACTAGCCTATATGTATATCTGAGCTTAATCCGTGCCTCAGATATAAAAGCGTGAAGAAGAGCCCACCATGTTCTCGTTACCGTTTTTCGTGATTTTGTGGCATTCTTTCCTGTATTTGATTACATCGTCTCGATCTGTCGTATGCAAGTTAAAGCGCTCACTAGCTATTACTCGAGTACGATAAATAGGTCCCAACTAGTAACCAATCTGCGAATACCCGAATCAAAAAGAGGATACAGAAAACAGGTACACTTGCACAAGTAAGAGTCAAATTTACGATACGACGCTTTGGGCGAACAAAGGAACAGAAAATTATCGATATTTTAGAGGCAGTACAACTGCAGGCTAAAAGTATGTCGCTCTTGGTCCTGTGAGTATACATTTAGCGATATTATGGCGGTAAAGAGCAATTTCATGATATATTGAGATTAACAAGACATTAGAAAGGGATATTGAATCTCAATTTGTGTGAAGTTTGGGTCCTTCGCAAGATTGGCCAAGCATTGGCTTGACCCTGCCATCAACACGGTCGTTATAACGCGATGTATGTTACAGCAGTTTATGTAAAAGAATGAATTCAGTGATTAAAGTAAGCCTTAATTTTGTTATACCGCTGTTGCGTACGGTTAAAAAATAGTACAGCTACCGGAATTTATATTAGGACCACCGATGGAAAGATTAACATTAGTGTGCCAGCCTCTCTGCTCCGATTCCTCTCTAGGCCACATAGATGACCTAGCAGTACTACTAATTCAGAGCGGTTTTTTAACGGACAACACAACGGAGCTTAAAAATATTTAACGGTTTCCGCCGTCTCCTAACCCATTCTGGCACATCCCTAACTTGGCGTTTGTCGTTGAACCACTTCGACCTTTTACTTTATTTTCTGTCTGTTCCCTTCTTTGTGCCGGCAAACGTTTCGTTGTTAGTGCCCTAAGCTGTCGTTATTGTCTCTGCTGTTGCCATCATTACCAACTTCCTCACAACAATAATGGCCATCAAGATCATCGTCATCATCGACTCTCACCCTTCATCGGTCTCAAAGCCTTAACTTCGATTCCGTTACTTTTATGTGCTACTCGCTGCCTGGCTCTTTGCCTCCCGCTATGTTCTATCCTTTACTAGCTTACCGCTTCGCATTGCTTCCTTTAGTTTTTCTTCTTCTTTCATAGTCGTTCCTTAGCGATCCAGCGGCACCTTTGCACCGATCGACCAGTGGAAGACAGTAACGAAGGTCTTCGGCAAAGGCCGCCGGTAGATAACGTGTAGGGCTCCCCAAAGACGCGATGGAGTACCGCCATCTCCACCGCCTAAAGGTTTCACTCGACTAAAGCGTCCACTCCTGCACGGCGATAGATCGCATCATTACACGAATGAGGATGAGGGCGCTGAGTGCCGCAAGATGAGCTTTTTGTCCCGTCTTCTTTTTCTTTCCCCTCTGTCTTGCTTACGCCTTTTGCTGTTTCCCTCGTCCTTCAAAAGGCTTCAGTTCATTCCATTTTGCACAGCCCTTGCCTTCTCTTTTTCACTTTCAACCGCTCTTTCTTTCCTTCTCCATTTCTCGAGACCTTTTTGACATTTATCGGACACGGAAGGGGGGGGTTTCGTTAGTTTACTTGATATCACCATGCCCCGCCATCGCGAGTCTTGCCAAGCTAGCTAGGCGCTAACGTTGCAGTCTCAATTCTTATTCTTTGTAAGTAGCCGGTGGGTCGACCAGAGGATGGAGATCCCTTGTCTTCTAAAATTTTCTCCGAACTGGCTGCAAGGTGGGCAGACAGTTACGCAGTAACCCAAACCCCACTTCATTCAATCCCGTTCTATTCCCTCTCTTTAAATTTTTGTCGATGTTGTCCCCGTTAAGTCCTTTCTTAAAGAGAGAGGAAGACCTCCGCGCATCGGTTTCATGTGCAGTAGTAGCACCAACGCTAGCAGCAAGGGCGGTGGCGGTCGAAGCACCGCTATCGCTCCTCTCGTGCCTTCCCACGGAACCTCACGAACCGATGTAGCTCACTAACCCACTCACAAGCGCGTTGGAACTTCTTCCCTTTGTCTCTAAATTGACTGGTTGATAAGACGACAGATCGCTCGAGACTCCGTAGGACATAGCGGCGGCAGCACCAGGGATAGTCGTCGTCGTGGTAGGCTTGGATGCTGTAGCTCGAGTACTTGCTCAGACTTTCCGGAGCTTATATCGTTACCTTCGTTGGTATATTAAACCAACTCAACTAACTGACTGTCACTTGTACACTTTATGCCGATTGGACAGCTGCGTTATTTAGATATGCGTCGAAAATGTTGTTTAAGGCGTTTGATATGGAGTAACGAAGATGGGAGAAAACCGTCCCGTGCAATATTTTTCCGTCGTAGCTTGCGCCTATTTCTACGTATATTAGATAATAGATAAGGACTAGATGCAAGAAATACTCCGTATATGAATGTGAAATAGATTTTGCCTGATTGAGTATAAGTAATAATTATAACCGCAATAATAATTTATTAGGTATAGTGATATGTCATAGAAGTGTGTCTCTTGTTTCTAGAGATAAACGCCTTATAAAACGCTCATTAATATTTTACGCTTATATGGCCTATTTTTCGAAATTTGCGATTTGGCCTGTTTGTCGATTTGATTCAGACAACACAGACTAGTGTATTTAAGCATATATTTCTATGCGCGAGAACTTTTATTTATGCACGTGCTCTGCCTTTTTAAGCTAGAGATGAGTCAATTGGTCGGGCCTAGCAATCAACCCACTAAGGCCCGTCAGACAGAATCTAACAAGCTTAACCCTAAGCACACAATGTTTAGTATACCAACCTTTTCTACTAAATGAGATACAATTTGCTTATGCCTAGAAAAACCAGAATTTTTCATGGCTGAACCGTTTGCTGTTCCTGCCATTTCCTCCATTTATTTCACGCAAAGCACAAGTTGTCTAATCGCTTATTTTTTGCTCAACGTGGTTATCTGTTCCCCGGGCTTCTGGGAGCCTTTCGAAACGAAACATAGCTGGCTGACTTATATGAATGATTGATCGACTATACATGTCGCCCTATATACGGAAAGCTAACCGATAACAAATACACTTGATAACACTTCGCAAAGTACGTACTTGACAAGGGAAGATAGAAAGCTCTAGAAGAAATCAGTGAACATTTATCGATGAGGCGCAGTTGCCTAATAGGCGCTCAATTTGATTTTCGTAGAGTGTACTGCCAGCGGCAAAAATAATTCACCGCTATTAATAGTAGGATCTGATGAATTTCAATTCTTTCGGAGTTGTTAGGGTCGGAACGGACAAACCTATTTACTACCGGATGGATTGTATCTGTTTTCCGCAGTCACTGTATACACCTACTTGATGGGCACAACGACATCAAGCTAGGCTGTTTTTGAGAAAGCTTAATTTTATTTGTACGTATACAACTATTATATATTTAGTTATTTTTATTTACTAATGACTTAGTCATAAACTACCGATAATAGTTCGTGCCGCCGACAGTGTTAGTTTTACAGATCGCATCAAACCGGATAACACGTAAACATATCTTTGGCTCTCTTATGGCACTGTAGCATCCTGATCGCGTATGTTGACTTGGTAATATTGAATGTACAATATTTTCTTCTCCCTTTTCGACCGTATAGTGTTATACTTTTGGCCTTGAGAGCAGAGAACTTTTTGTAAAAATAAATAAAGTACACCAATGCTCGAACCTGGCAAGAAACGATTCAGCCATTATTTTCCTTGACAAAAACATAAGAAAAACAACACCTTGTATCTGTTGATTCGTTGGCTGGAAGCTTTGTCATTAACCCATCGAGACATCCGATCTATTCCCTTCAGCGATCGCTTCGATCAACCGCTGTCTCCATCGATAGATCGAGATCGAGCATCAGACATCGCAACAGAGAGATGGTGCGTCCATAGCATCGATTGCAATAAATCATAGCGCGTTCTGAGTGATGGTAGTAACAACGACGCAGCTGATCATGATAGTGGTTACGCTTCTGCTACGGGCTGCGCTGTAAACAATGTTGATGGCTGCGTCCCTCAGGAGCGCGAAGGCGCGGTGGCTGCGAGGCCCATTTCATGAGAAACTATTTGCTGGACAGTATGAAGGATGATCGTGAAGCAGAACTTGGCCGATATCATGACGTGCCGCTGTTGCTGCTGCTGCTGCTGCCCCGCGGCCAACTTTTCTGGGAGCTGCTAGTGACGCCGACAACGCGGAGACGAACGGCCTTGACAAGAATGTCCGTCGGTAAGCTCATAGATGGAGTCAACAGATTATGCCATATATACATGTAGTAAGCTTACGAAGCAATATGAACGACGGCCGTCGTAAACCCCACTCGACAACGATTGCTGATGACAAACGAACAGCTAAAGGTAGGCAGTAAGGTAAAGCGCTTTTTGCTTTGCTGGTTTGTGGCGTCTTGTTAACAAGACTGGTTTGACAAGACCG